TTAGCGCTTTGTGACCCTGATGTGTGAAAAGGGCTGTATCAATAAAGTTTACCTAGAATGCAATAGTTGAATAAGTTTGAAATTCATGTTTATTCACGAGTTGCAGTTAAACATCACATTGGAATAATCTTGCAAAACTACCCAGTGTGCACAATAGACAAAAATAACAATAGTAAATTAAATTCTACATTTCTAAACTAAATTGTTTGAAATAGGCAAAATTTATCTTCATTTGAGTACATTTTAATAAAAAAAAATTGCCAATGGGACAAGAAAAAATGTCTTTGCATAATTGACATGAAGTAAGACTACATGTCCTGAAAATGTATTCTAAGCCAAATAAAAATACTTGATTCATTATGTTTTATTGTTTGCAGTGATGTTAGATATTGTTACTTCCAAAGCCTATTTTATCTTTTACATCGAGTGAAAAGAGCGCAGTTATAGCACTTTGATTTGTTCAGCACGTTTACTTTCCCTTTAAACCCAGCAGCAGGATGCATCGCTTTCTTTGCATTGGCTTTATTAGAAGCTCTTTTGCTTGGAACGAGGGGAGAACACAATTTAACAGCCACAGATCAAACCAAACTCAGGCTTTGTGTTTATCTCAGCGGCAGCAGCGGGCTTTTCTTTTCCCCGCGGCGGGACACGACCACATGGGGCAAAAGGAGAGGCATTCTTCTGTTCAATACGTTAATACAGCCTCACATGTGTCACAAGCAAAGGGTTTGAGAAGTAGTGGCAATGATCATTTTATCACAGCATGGAAGGTGTATTATTCTGCACAAAATAAGCAATTTGTTTGAATTTGCTTGTTTGCGTTGAAAAATCGTGAAAGATAAGTCTGTGCTTGTCTCCTGATCGATTTTTTTGTCAGCGTTGATAGGATTATAGAAGCTTCTAATAATATTGTTGTTGTTTTTGCTCCTGGTGGTATTTAGATGCCATCTTTGAAACTAGGAAATGACAATTGAATTTTGTCTTTTATTTTGCAGTGCCACATTGTAAACACACTGTAACCCACACAAACTAATTGTTAAGGTTTTACAGGAGCATTTTCTACTTCCGGGTGAATCAAAATTGGTCCACCTATGTGTCAATCATTCTGGTGACACGAGCTCGTCAAACAAGACCAGAGAGTGTTGTTCATAGAGGGCGGTTCTTTCCTCAATTTTGGGAAAATCCTCCTATATACCTTTAATCTTATATCTAATTATATCTGGTGAATCTACAATAGAATATCATTCAAAAGTTAATTCATTTCAGTCACCTGTTTTTACTTTTACAGTTTGCGTGTAGTCTGCTATAGATTAGTTTCACATTGTAATTGTTAAATGGACTTTTGAACAATATTTCAATACCCCCAATGAGTTTTTGTGTTCCATGTATATAGTGTTGTATAGATATTTGTTGTGCTATTTCTGGATGGTGTTGCTGACAGGGCTTTGTCTCAGGCAGGGTGGCATTGAAGCGTTTGGCGGCCTCTTTCCCTCTACCCCAGCGTCCCCTTGATGGTGTTCAATAGTGAGCAGTTTTTTCATGGCTCTTGTGATGGTGCCAGCTTGTTGATTTGGGGCCACAGGGCTCGGGCACACACACTCTCTGCAGCAGCTTTTATTTCACGCACAACAAGAACTGGCAGATGTCTTTTCGCTCGCCCACAATGCTCTTTCTAAGCCCAGGCACTTGAATAAGATAATTGTTCCCTATTCAAACTCATGGTAGACATCTTGTGTCAAAGGAGAAAACATACTCTCTGTCTGTCCGAAAGGAAGAACTTGCACATTTCAATTCAGTTTATTTTTGTATAGCCCTAAATCACTACAGCAACATAGATCAGAGAATAAAACAATTCAAGCACAGTATTGCTTTTTTGTTGTCCAATTTTGCAAATGATTTTAAACTTGTTTAGTGTTCTGTGCAAATATTTGTATTGGATCTATTAAAAAGTTCTGCCAATCCCTCTGTTTCTTGTTAAGCCCAAGTATATGAAAATGTGCCATGTTGTGTATTTTCGACATTTACAGAATTGTGTGACACAATCAAAAAACAAATGTCAATGTATACAAAGTGAGCGGCTAAATTAGATGCCTATATTGGCTGAGCTGAAGTTGGCTGAAAGATATTGTGTTTATCGAGCAATCAATTTCCCAAAATATGGGTAATCCTCATATATCACGACTGATAATTGTAGACCAAATTGAAACCCCAAAAATGTTTAGTCCCAATTCAACAATGACCATGTAATGAGAGGTGTATTTTGAGGTATATCTATGATGAAAATTACAAGAATCTCACCCCTATGTCAGTGGCCGGACTTGCCCTACTCTAATCGACTCTACTCTACCTGGTTATAGGTACCTGGTACCACATCCTAGCAACGTACCCACAACAAACACATTTTCGGTGATATGTTTTGGCAAACTGCAGCAATCTGGCCTATCATTGTCAGTTAGAATGCTTTCTCAGCTCGGTCAAGTTAGAACCAGAGCCAAAGCAGGTACTACAGTAAGTAAATGGCACTGGTTAAACAGGGCCTGTGGAAACGCTCCCAGTCAGAATAGGGTAGGATAGAGTTGGATAGAGTAGGGTAGGGTAGGCCAGGGTTGGGTAGAGTAGAGAAGTAGGACTAGGATTGGTGGAAACAGGGCTAAAATGGCTTTGTGTGAAAAAGATATACGTATTGTAGCGCATATAATGTTAATCTTGCAAAGTTTTTCCTTGTTGTTTATCCGATACTGCAACTGCATGGGTCTGAATCCCAAATGGAGCTGAGAGAGAGCACCTCTCGCTCTCCGGCTGTTGACCTGCACCCCTCAGTGACTCTTGACCCTCTCTTTGTTGGTCTCACACAAAGGACTCTTCTCTATCTCAGAGCTGTCTGCATTGATGCTGTTTTCAAAGCACAAAAACAAACTCCACTCTCCACTTGTTTGTAATAGGTTTACTGCAGGACCGTGTCCGTCCTGTCGTTTTTTACCTTAAGGAAATCACTGGGCTTTGTATTCTTTGTGATAAGGAGACGTTTTCTGGATTTCTCGGTAAATTTAAAGTGGCTGCTTTGAAGATCTGATATTGTAACTTTTTTAAACTTCAGAAAGCAGAGAAATTGGTGAAACCTCATATGGCTGCTGTAGATTTAAGAAGCCTGATTGCAATGAATGGGCAGAGGCAGTTTGTGAAACTAAAAGATATTTAATTTAGTTCTTGTATTTTAGGTCAGCTGTTTTGCCACAATGTCACAGTATTGAGAGTTAGTTCTTCTGATCGATCGATTCTTATCGATTATTTTTACGATTAATCGAGTAATCGCTTGGCTGTGAATTGTGTAGAAAAAAAATATTTTTTCATCACAAAAAGCTAAAGTGGCAACACTCAAGGACGTATTGATGGCGTAAACTTAAAGTTTGTAACAGGCTCTTTGTGCTAATTCTGCTATCTGATTGGATGAGACAGACAGATATTCATGAAATTATAAAAACAAAGTCGGTTTTAATCAAAAATACTACATTTTCATGTCATTTTTGCTCTGTTTGAGACCGTAGGAACCAGAAAACGATTAATCGATTACTAAAATAGTTGTCGACTATTTTAATAATCGATTAGTCATCGATTAATCGATTAGTTGTTTCAGCCCTACCCAAATCCGATATTAATCTATTCTAAGGCTAGTACAAAATGTGAGATTGTTTGAGCAGTTTTTGAAAGATTTTGATCTGAACTAACATCAAATAAAATATATAATAATAATAATAATAATAATAATAATAATAATAATGATAATAATAATCTTTATTCCAGACTCAAAGTATTTTATATGGACATTTAGTCTGGAATAATTTTTTGTCTGGAATATAATAAAGGTGTAGTTTAGGTATAGTTTACCTTCCATAGTGTGTTTGACTTTCTTAACTGTGTATGTATGTATTTTATGCATTTTTCTGGCATTTTTCTGGCATTGTAATGACAATAAAGTTGAAACCAATCTAATATTAGTGAGTCTGAAGTTGATGAGATTCTCATCAAGAAGTACACCCTGGTTGCGTCTCTGTCTAAATCCTCGGCCTTGTAGCTGGACTAATAACTTGTTTATCCCACATCCTTTCATTAGATACTTGTTGTTATTATTGAGGCTCTTCTAAATGAGTGATTTGAATGCGAGCTCTTACATAACGTTGTCTCTATCCCACATAAGTGAAAAGGATCTCTCTCTGCAGACACAGACTGCCCCCCTCACCACACACCCAGGGGCTCCAGACCCTGTTGACAGTGTAAGACCGTCATGCTCGACACCATCTTTTGGGGTTATGCTTCTCCTTATTGGGGGCGTTGTGGTTGTTGGTGGTATGCACTTTTCTCAGCATTTTGAAATGAAATAATCAAGACAACGATTATTCATTTCTCAACAAGCATCCTCACTCCGACAGCTATGTGCGTCTGAAATGCAATCTAAATGACTCAGACAAACATGGCCTGATAGAATGTTAAATATATTATCTAAAACCAACAGAGATTGCTAGACTGAACTAAGATTTTTCTTCATACTCTGCAAAACTGACTTTACAAAATGATTTATTTGAATGATGGGAGCTAACACGTCCAACTCACATTATGTAAATTGCTATTTTCCTGATAACGCTGCATAAAATACTTTCAAATGTCAAGTTTAAAAATAGATTTCATAGCTCACCTAAACAGTCACATTATTATTTCTTATTGTTAGAACCTGCAGATTGGACAAAGCATGGTAATCTTTGAAAATCGCTCACTTGGCTTTAATATTTTACTAATAACTTGGGTGTATACTTTTAGCCGGTTGCTTATTCTATGGAACGACAGATACAATGCATATACTTTCTCTGGCATGACGCGGCCCTTTTTTGCAAGCTTGAGAAACCGTTTGCATTGGGGTTTCTTCAGAGGCGTTTGCTTGCGAATGGTGGAGGTTATCCTGGGACGTTTTGCGTGCCACTCATTAACCCCCGTCGTCTCGTCCACAGATCGAGAAGATCATGACACTGATTGGTGCAGGCATTGATTTTTCCAGAGATCAGCAGTACGCCACTCCAGGTATGGAACACTCGTCCTTAGTTCTAGACGAGAATGAGTAAAACAGACAGAAAAAAGTGCATGGTAATGAAAAAGCATGAATTATTTGTGTTGTGTATTTTTATCTGTTTTGTGATGTTTGTTTATGGCCTAGGCTTCTCAAATGAATTGCCCCCCAGGGATAAAGTCGTCTGAAACTTAGTCTGAATCCTCACATGGTGTCTGTGTAGAGAATGCTGCTGTTTTCAGACCTCTCACAAAACTTACACCTAGACATAACGAAAACGTATAGTAAGTAGTAAGTAAGTTGTAAAGCACTTTGTGACTATATATATATATATATATATATATATAGTCACAAAGTATATATATATATATATATATATATATATATAAGATTAATTACTACTTACCATAAAGTATAGCCTGTCAAAAAGATCAGATGGTTCAAACCACAATCTAAAATACAAACATATCTGTATAGGTTGTTCTGAATGAGAAAAATAGATAAATGTCTTCTAGCATTGTGCTTGTGTAAAGTTTCTGTGTATGTGAACTTTTTTGACAGGTATTTGGCCAGCTCTGCTCCAGGAGTTAATCCCGTTCACCTTTAGCGCAGGCTTATTGTTTAGACTGCGTGTGCATACTGATGCAGTGCTGCAGAACTGTGGTGTTAAGTCTTTTAGTTATATTCCTCCATGGACTGTTTAAATATTCAATAAAATATATGTCTGGAAATTAACTAACCAGGCTTTGATGCTTCAGACTTTCTCAGACCACTGCAGTTTCTAGCAGAAGTCTTTAGTCGGATTTCTCTAAATGTGTTTCATATCATCATAAATGACTTGTTGAAGTGAGATTTCAAATACGTTTAAAGGCTCATGACACTAATGCATGACGTAAAGCTGGAGGAGCAGCCACCTGCAGTGAAATGGGGAGGCACTGTGGGGAGAGAGAGAAAAGGGAGGAGAGAGAGGAGAGGGAGGAGAGGAGAGTGAGAGGAGAGGGGGGTTGCAGGCAGCAGAATTATGAGCAGTCAGGACAATAGAAGGGCACTACTGCATCCTGCTGCTGTGTGTTTGAGGAGGGGCTGGACATCGGAGGCTTTTGGACTTGTGCTAAGCCTGAGTGGACCTAATCCTGCATGAGCTGCAAGGGAGTTTGATTTGTGCACTTTTTACTTCTTAATCTTGTTGTTTTACCAAATTGGCGACAAACATGGATTATTGTTTTCCGTATGTCATTCAACGAGAAAGCTGAAGACCTAAGATAGGAGATACATGTGGCCTGCAGTGACAGTAAACTTGGGATGAAATCATCGAAGTCTAACTTTTGCACTTTTTTACTGCTGCTGAGACAGTTGTGTGCCAGACCTCTGTGACTGGTGCTGTCTCTGTGACTAGACTTTGGCTTGGACTTTAAGTTCAGTAAAGTTTGTTGTAGTTTTGAGTGATGTTCAGACTGAGTATATGATGTTCTAGCTGCAGAGAGTGTGCCTTTGCTCTGTTAGAGTTTGGACTGGTGGTGACTGCAGCCTCCGCTGTCCCGTGGGTGCCCCCCCCCCTCAGTCACACTGTCTGCCCTGCCGCTCTGTTGTGCTCGGCTGTGTTGGCCGAGAATGATGTGGCAATGCCACATCTCCTCTTCCGAGTGCCGCTGTTATCGACTGAAAGGCTTCTCTCTGCTCAAGCGCTTCCCCCTGTCGGCAGGTGCAGGACGCCTCTTGGAGCAGCCGGTGGGGGACTGGCTGGAGCATGTGGGGCTGCCTCAGTACGAGAGCAAACTACTGCTCAACGGCTTTGACGACCTGCACTTTATGGTGAGTCAAGAATTGTACATTGTCATCACAGCTTTCCCAATGCCATGTTACAATAGTGTGTACACATTAGCACTGTATGTGTATATTCCTAAAAATCCTTTCAACTAGTTCCTAGAACCAAACTCTTTTGAGCTCTCACTAGTTTGAAAATGTGTTTATTTTCTGGCCAGCATTTTACACAGAGAGACAACAAGAGAACCAACCTCACTCAGCCAATCACTGAGCTGTGGGAAAAATATAACGCACAATATTATTTGTGCCTGATTGTCCAAACTTTGACTTCACACATTTACCACATTTCTTACATAAATCTAGTAAATGTATTATTACTAAAGTTAGGTACTTCAGCTTTAACATTGATGAAAGGTATATAAAGCCCGGATATGTAATTATCAATGATATGATTATGCCCCAGGAGCAGACTGCATGTCTCCATTTAGTCATTACATGAGTGAGCACATCTGATACCCTGCACTGAAGAACATCTCTGAGCAGATGTTATTACAGAGCAGGGCTGTCTGCACTTCACTCTGAGCACTCATCATCATCATCTTCATCATCATCTTCATCTGCTGCTGTGGTCTAAGGGAGAACAGAGGCTCAGCTGGAGGCCTGGACACATCACATCACGCAGCTGAATGCACTATGGGCTACACTTCTTTTTGCCATACACTCTCCTACCTTTTAACCCTAGGACTACCAGAATTCTGGAACTACAACTACCATAGCAGTCATTTTGACGGCTCCCAATCAAATCAATTGAATTCTGAAAATTCCCAGAAAAGTGCCAAAGCGCTTAACAATAAAATCCCATAAAATCCATTCCAATCCAAAAACATTCATGCAATCATTAAAAAAGTGCCACCGCGCTAACAAGTGTTAAAAGCCAGTCTGAAAATCAGTGAGCACTCACTTATCAGGGGGCAGCTTGTCTGAGATGGACCGATCACCCCTGGTCCTGCCCATCTAATTGACTGCTCTTGGAGTTCTAGTGTTAAAGTAACAGCTAAGTACCAGGTTCCATCTCCACAAACTCTGGTGTACTTTTACAATTCATTTCCAGCGTTCAGAATTGCAAACATTTTCATAATATTCCCACAGTGCTCAACTGAACAAAAGTAGTGGATACTACGTGAGAGCAAGAAATAAGCCTGTACTTAAATCACCCGGCCTGGTTTTCCTGCGGCTGTACGTGCCTGATATGAGGCTGAATAATACCTGCAGAAAGTTTCTAATCCACTTTATATAACCACTCTTTGTACTGTGTGTGCCCCCCTCTCTCTTTGCTCTCTGCGTTCAAGTCCATCTTCATCTTCTACTGTCTTTCACTCTCTGACACTCTCCGTACTCATTTATCTTTTTCAAAGCAGAGAACCAGCTTCCAGATCACCCCGAGAAATGTTTGACTCTTTGTAACTAGAATTCAAAACATATATGTGTGTGATCAACTGTGGCTAGTTAGCTTGAAGTCTCTATTTACCTGTTTTATGGCTTTGTCTAAATTTTAATTATTATAGAAAAGCCTTATCATTCTGCTGTTCTATACGGCAACAACACTACCCCTCCCCCCTTCCCCCCAGAAAATGTTTCATGAAAAAACTTAAGACCTATTCAGGCACTCCAAAGGATAATGTGAGCTGCACAACGACATCTTAACTAAGTCATCTTTATTCATATAGTGCTTTCCACAGACTGAGAGTCACAAAGCGCTTTACAAATAACTGCACACAGTAATTATGCTACCAGGGTCACCATATAGGAGGCACAAGCCATGATCATGTTTTCTAATGGTGGGGAAACTGGAGCACCTGGAGGAAACCTACACAGACATGGGGAAACATGCAAACTCCACATAGAAAACCCTGAAGGTGGAATCTTTTTTGCTGATTTGACAGATATGGTCTTCATTAGTAGTCGACTGGCGCCATCTTGTGCCTCTGCTCAATTTAATGATAACAATAAAAAATAAAAAAAATCTTACTTATAGCGCGTTTTGGACACTCAAATATTCAGTTCTGTGTAAGCAGTTTGGAACTGATCAGTTTTAGCACCCCAGCAATCGAGGTTCGGCATCGCGGCAACGCAGAGCTCAGAGAACCCGGAGGTACAATCGGCCAATCAACACCCATTTGCTGATGCAGGAGGGTCTAAGGACAGTGATGATCCGGGAAATTTAAGGCCATTAAAGACATTTATTAACATTTATAATATGAACACTGGTTGTCCCGCTCCCTATGGACCAATGACTCCTATATGTTTATTTTTCAAACTGTTTGATTCTCTGCTTGATTCTCACTTTGTTATTGTGTTGTGATTTAGGGCTATTCAAAAGTAAATTGAATTGAATTGGTGCTAGGCGCATGTGTGAGCAGTGGTCGCAGTGGTCAGCTCTTAGTGGCCCGACTAATTAAAGCGTGTTTACTCGGCCAAACAAACTGCTGTGATGTGCTGCCTTCAGCTCCAGAGCCAGATCAATAGTGACAGTCAGTGCACTGTTGCTGCGCTGTAAAAGAGACCAGGCGGTTACAAAACATTATTTATATTGACTGGTGAAGGGACCAAAGTGAAGTGTTTACTGGTCCACATGTGACGCCTCTCAGGGCAAACGTTTGGTGCGCCTGAGTGACCGTGTTAGTTTGTTCTGGCTGTTTATGCAGGCTGCCCTGGCATGCTCTCACAAACACTGGGCGACACGGTGGCTGAGTGGCAATAGCACTTTCGCTTCGCAGCAAGAAGGTTCTGGGTTAGAATCTCGGTCGGAACGGGATCTTTCTGAGTGGAGTTTACATGTTCTTCCGTGTCTGCTTAGGTTTCGCAGGGGTCTTCTGGTTTGCCCTACCACTAAAAACATGTGCAATATTTCAGGGTGAATGAGTTTGTGGTTGTGAGTGCGACTGTGGGACGACAGATGCAATCCGGAGTGGTGTGTTCATTAACATGCACTGTCCCAACCAAATAAACAATAAATATAAGCAGCTAACAGCAGATCTCCGAAGGATTGAGAAAGCTACACCTAATTTCATCAAATATGGTTCGTTCCACGTTAACGTATAGTTTCAAACTCTACGTTTGTGCTGCAATGCAAGTGTTGTCTCTTCTCAACGTCTCCATGGTGATAGAACAGTTAGTTATTCTCTCTTGGGCTGTCAGTGATATTTTAGTAATCTTTATTCAATTCAATTAATTCTTGTATAGTCCTTAATCACAACAGTAGTCATCTCGGAGGACTTTACACAACCATTGAAATCACCAACACAGATCAGAGAATGAAACAGTCCAAACACAAGAAATGCAATTATAAAATACACTCCATTGGTCCATAAGGGGCAGATGACCAATGTCCATAAACGTCTTTGAATGTCGAGTGTCCTGGATCATCATTAGCCACCAATTACTTTTAATTAGGTAGAAAATGTAATTTAGTATTAGTAAAGTGACTTGTCTATAGCTTGCGCCTCCTGTACTGGCGATCCCATCTCTGTGTGGACCGAGAGACAGATGCCCACTACAATTGTAAAGTGCTTTGTGACTGTAAAAACTTACTTACTTACTTTGACTTTACTTTAACTTGATATTTTGAAACCTATGCCTGAAGCTGCCATTAGACACAGCCAAGACTGAAATTCTCTGACTTGTAAAGAGTTAGCCATAACAATTTGCACTGGGAGAGAAAACCTCCCTCAAAGTCGTGAAGCGTGTGTGAGCCTCCTGAATTCGCTGGTCCTGATGTGCTGTTGACATGTTGGCCTTGGAGGGTGGGCCCTGCGTCGCCCACTTTAGCAGCTCGACACTTCTCACTTTGAGAGTGTGAAACTGGTGCAGAGCCGTTCTGAACACTTATAGCAACATGTGCACCTTCTACAATCTGCAGTATTTTGAAATCTGAAATATTCTTAGATCCTACACAATGTTCCCAGTTTTCATATGATTCACAGAATTTATTTCCCAGTGTACAAAAATGCACAGAAAGCATTTGAATGACCACATACTGTACATAGCTATTTTGTAATTTTGAATTCCCAGAAACAGTTCGGTATTGGAAGAAGACATTTATCTAACTATGCTTCGTTCATTTCAGAATTAGGTATTGATTGGTATTGAAAGTAACAGGCACATCAAACCAAACTCATACTTCTGTCTGAATTCCTGTCACTCTCCCCTTTTCATTCAGAGCCGACATGGAAGCCCTCCTGAGGCCTCTACTACAAGCGTCTATTTCAAACTACTGATAAAAGTTGTTCGAAAACTTAAAAGCACTGATCTGTTCCCCTCAAACTGTGGCCTGGATTCACGGTCTTAAACCTTAGGGACTTTCGGGGCTCTGCTGTGAATAGGGCAACGCGAGAGCTGCATTTTAATCAGAGGACAGAGGAAAGCTCAGATAGATGGGCTCCACTAAGCTCAGCACAGATACTCTATAGAGCGATTTGGTTGTACTGTATATCGAATGTATTCTGGTGTCACAGCTTCTTGGGGCTCTGCGTGAAGGCACTTAATCTCCTCTTTCCACACTGATTTACCACTGTCATGTTTCTGTAAGGATTATGTAGGAATGAAAGCAGACTGTAATTCTGCAGAGCATTTAGTGTTGATGATTTTCACCCATTTTTGAAAGCTGAGTCATCTGCATTAAGCATCCATCATTCAAATTCAGATTCAATTTATTTGCCATCGGCAGTTAAAAAACACTTTGAAATGCCTGTTTGACGGCACCCAGACGTGCAAGATGAAGTATAAATATAAAAACACATTCAAAATATATAATAAATCAATTCAGAAAAGTGCAACATTGTGCAACAACATGTATGGACATTGATCATGATTCTCTGATCTGTGTTGGCGAATCAACGGTTTTGTAAAGTCATCCAAGATAACTACTTTTGTGATTTAGGGCTCTACAAGAATACATTGGATTCCATTGTCCAATCTGATCACAGTTTATGGAAAGAAGCTGTTTGAACGGCGCTATGTCCTGCATCTCAAAGAATAATATCTTCTTCCCGATTGAAGAACCTGGAACATGACCTTTCAGCGTCTTAGTGGTTGTGCCTCACGCAAAGAAGGTCCTAGCTTTCATTCCACCTCCAGATGGGGCCTTTCTGTGTGGAGTTTGCATGTTCTCCCTGTGTCTGCATAGGTTTTCTTTCCGGGTGCTCTACTCAAAACATGTACAATAGGTCTGGAATACGCCTCTTGTATCCATCTATCCCCATGTGTGGAGAGAGAGGGAAAATTCAATATAATAATAATAACTGTAAAGCGCTTTCTGAAAGGGACTAAAAAATGCATATTGATTTAAGGTTGCAGTGACATTCAAGGACGTTTGTGAAAAGTATAGCAGTATTGAGCGAGATATTTAGACCGATACAACAAGCTATGAAGACACTGAAACTACCACCAAAAGTACATTTCCGCATTTCTTTTTGCTGCATGTCAGACATTGTTTATCCGATTCTACAAGGATAGACATTGCACAAGGGAAGTGTGCCGATTATATATGTTACATAGAATGATGGTATGAGCATCATTTTACCTTGAGCTGAACACGGAGCCGTTAGCCCTGATCTGTCAGTGTTTCCCTGAGGCTGAGATTTAGCCCCTGGCCTTGTACTAGCACTTTATGATAGGAGCCAGGTAAACATGCTGCTATTACATTCTTAATGAACTGACATTACACTTCAGAAAAGGAAAAAAATACACCTAACAAAAGAAGATGTTTTAATGCTAATATTGAGCAAATAAAAATGTAAAATGTAAATGTACCCTTCATGAACATTTGTACACACACTGTATATTAATTCGTTCAAGCAGAAATATACACATGCATAGACAGATACTGTATATATTTATGTGAAAGCAATATTTAACAGCAATCACCTTTGTGTTGATTTATTGGCAAAATGTATTTATAAAAAATGAATTAGTCTGGAATTGGTGTGCGTGAATGGTTGATGGTGCCAGAAAGGCCAGTGGTTCATCAATGTGCCCCAAGGCAACTGTGGCTACTGTTTATCACCACTGTGTATGAAATGCATTATTATTATTATTAGTATTATTCAATTCAATTAATTTTTCTATAGCCCTAAATCACAACCGTTGATTTCGCCCAAGCAGATCAGAGAATCAAACCGTTCAAACACAAGAAATGCTGAATGATGAAGAACATAAAGAGCCATTGGTGCATGACGGGCAGATACTTCTACCACGGTTGTATTTTGCCGTCTGATTCTAATATTGCTTTTATTCGATCATTTTTTAAAAAGATTTTAAGCCATTTATTGAGGAACTCAGATTTATGTGAACCCAATCTTAATTTACAATCCCGCAGCTTGCTTGCGTCCATCAGACTAATACTGCACTATTGCACTATTTAAAACTCAATTATCCAACTAGGCAACTGCTTCACTTTCTAACCTCACATTACTACACCCCTCTCTCCACACTGTTGGCTACGGTCAGCTTTAGCACCCCCCCAGACCACCAGCTCATATTGCTGACCACTCCTCAGGCTCCTCCATTGATTTATTGCTTGCGTCTCCGTTATCCATGACCTGCCACACTGTCTCCGTGGTGATCCTTCTTGTAACCAAAGATGCAGTTCCCCGCCACCTCCCCAGACGACCCCCCCGCTCTCCACTAAGTGTTGAGTGGCTATTGACATGGCCTCCTCTTCATTACCCTTGCTATAGGTGCTGGTATCAAGGTCTCTTTCAGTCTTCATTTCTGCCATCGTAGCATTGTCGCTAATCAATGCAAACGGTGAGACCGATTTAACGTCATTGGTTTTGCTCCTTCTATAGATTTAACCTGTAACAAGATTCAGTTGTTGGCAAACGTGAAGTCACTTAACAAATTGAGTTGGTTTTTTGTGTGTGTTTTTTGCAGGGGAGCAATGTGATGGAGGACCAGGACTTGAGGGAGATTGGAATCACGGACGCAAGCCACCGCAAGAAAATCCTCCATGCGGCAAGATCATTTCCAAAGGTAGTGCACTGGACTGGGTGTGAAAAAATAAGTCCTTTCCCGTGTGACTGACATACAAACCTTTGTCGTGTCAGCTTCGAAGTTTTTACTGCTTCTCTTTTTCTATTCTACCCTAACGTTTAACTCATAGAACGTATATAGATGGACAATGCTAACTCGGCAGCACAAAGAAGCCCAATAGGAAAGTGGTTGTGGATATAGTTTTGCGCCAACTCGCTCTGATTCCTGTTGATTTACATTGAAAAGTAAACTCAGCACAGTAACTGTTTTTGTCACACTCTCTGTTTTGGGCTTAAAATGTCTGTGGTACAGTACTTTTCATGATCCTCTGGTATATATATATAGATTTTTTACATTGTCTTTGTACAATCAGATATGAGACATAATTGGTTTGACCAATCAAATGTCTTCATCGGTGGAAACTCCAGGATGCCTTAGCAACCATCTTAGCAACATATCTGCCCCTGTTACGGCTCAAAACTAATGGGCTCGACACACGGGAGGCGACAAATGAGAGCGATCAGCGAAACTCAACGCTGTCGCTCAGATAACATGACAGACGGGGCGCGATGCGGCTTGACGACAGCGACGAAAAGTTGAGCCGATTTCAACTTTCTGGGATCGCGTCGCTGACCCGCGCGTGCACGATACATGCACGAGCGGGAGGATTTCACACGCACGTTTTTCGCCCGTCGCTGAGCAGGAGGCTCGCTAGCGATTGACGCTATGTCGCGCACGTCCCATTGAAAATGAATGGAGGCGATGCGATGTCGCCTCCCGTGTGTCGAGCCCATAATGCTGTCGTAACAAAATAGCCATCTAAGGTCCAGCTAGTTTATGTTCAAATCAACTTTTGGTCTGTACTGTATACTGTACATATACATACGCAGAGGCGGTCAGCATACACACATTCATATACATATACAAGTATTTTAACTACAAATAAACATGCCAACTGGGAAATAAATGTTGATAATTGTGATACATAAACATTTTTTAATCTTATTGTATCAAATAGTTATATCTTTAATAATTGCAGAGGGGCAATATCCAAACTTCAAAACCTTTTTCTGTTTATTCTGTGTTTTCCTTTGTTGGGCAATATTGAAAATATGGGGGTCTTTAAGCCAAAACTAGACCAGAACAAGGAAAAAAACAAGCTACGGCCACATCAAATAGGCCTGATTGTAGACACATGTAATAATGTCATGAGAGAACCCATCCTCAGTGCAAATGTAAGATGGCGGACTGCTGTCTGTGCAGGTGAAGGCGTTTGGCTGTGACGGCAGCTGCTCGCTCTCCTCGTGGCTGGAGAACCTCGGCCTCCAGGAGTACCTGCCCAACTTCCTGTCCAGCGGATATCGCACCTTAGACTGTGTCAAGAACCTGTGGGAGCTGGAAATCGTCAATGTGAGTCCCAGCGGCGCATGTGCTATCTGAGGGTGAAGTTAAATGGTCCTTTATGACATTTGCAGCTAAAGCTTCTATAACATCGTCTCCATCCCTATTCTATTCAGTGGAGATGTGATATATTCTTTACAAAATGAAATATGCTTTATTTTTGGTCACACACAGTGATCATGAGAAAAATTACTTTCTACATGTTTAGAATATAAGATGAAATCTACAGTAGAAAATATATGGTGAAATGTTTTTAAAAAGTGTAAAAAATGCTTTGCCTGCAACTCTCTATGCCACCACCAGCCGGCTACAAACGCAGCCATGCAATTGTAAAGATTCACCTGGGATTCTGCCAAAACTAATTTATGAGAACTAGCGTTGTTTTAAAAGGCAGTATACTGGTACAAGTGTGATGTCATGGTGGTACAATGACATCATTCTTAGACCAGACTGAGACAGGAGTCATTTTGACGGTTTGACGTTTGAAGCTGATTGATTTTGCATAATATGACTCCTTTAATTTCTAAACCACCCTGTTTAATTTAGCAGAAGTCTTTTCAGTCCTTTTGTGAGATATGTACATTTTTAACATGGGGCACACCGGATGCTCTTGGCTGCCTGTAAATTGTTCCCAAGGCAAGTTAATGTGTGTGGCACTGTTCATACACAAGGCGACTCAACGTGCTTAACAAAATACAATAGAAACAATCATACTATAGATAATCATAACATAAATACTATAAATAATAACATTACTTTATAAAGATTACAGTACAATCCTGTATGCACAGCTAAACAGAACTATTTAACCTGGATTTGTACATTGTCATAGAAGAAGCCTGTCAGCAAGACTTTTCAAGATTTTAGTTGCATAAATCTGAAACGCTGCGTTCCCGTGTTTAGTCCTGACTCTGGGCACCAGCAGGAGGCCAGTCCCTGTGCTCCTCAGAGTCCCAGTTGGTTCATATGGCACTAGCATGTCACAGATATACTTTGATGACAGGCCATGGAGAGACTATCCAAAATGTTTTATAATGAATAGGAAGCTTAATGTTATTTACCCAAACTGCAATTACATTAAATGATTTCTCTTTTGTAGGTTTTAAAGATCACATTATTGGGCCATAGGAAACGGATCATCGCCTCTTTAGCAGAACGGCCGTATGAGGAGCCTCCTATAAAACCCCCACGTCTCTCTCAGATCAGGGTAATGACAAATATCCACTTATTCAATGCAATGTTGTGTACAATATACAGTGCCTTGCGAAAGTATTCGGCCCCCTTGAACCTTTCAACATTTTGCCACATTTCAGGCTTCAAACATAAAGATATAAAATTTAAATTTTTTGTCATGAATCAACAACAAGTGGGACACAATCGTGAAGTGGAACGAAATTTATTGGATAATTTAAACTTTTTTAACAAATAAAAAACTGAAAAGTGGGGCGTGCAATATTATTCGGCCCCTTTACTTTCAGTGCAGCAAACTCACTCCAGAAGTTCAGTGAGGATCTTTGAATGATCCAATGTTGTCCTAAATGACTGATGATGATAAATAGAATGCACCTGTGTGTAATCAAGTCTCCGTATAAATGCACCTGCTCTTTGATAGTCTCAGGGTTCTGTTTAAAGCGCAGAGAGAACCATGAAGACAAAGGAACACACCAGGCAGGTCCGAGACACTGTTGTGGAGAAGTTTAAAGCCGGATTTGGATACAAAAAGATTTCCCAAGCTTTAAACATCTCAAGGAGCACTGTGCAAGCAATTATAATGAAATGGAAGGAGTATCAGACCACTGCAAATCTACCAAGACCCGGCCGTCCCTCCAAACTTTCATCTCAAACAAGGAGAAGACTGATCAGAGATGCAGACAAGAGGCCCATGATCACTCTGGATGAACTGCAGATAACTACAGCTGAGGTGGGAGAGTCTGTCCATAGGACAACAATCAGTCGTGCACTGCACAAATCTGGCCTTTATGGAAGAGTGGCAAGAAGAAAGCCATTTCTCAAAGATATCCATAAAAAGTCTCGTTTAAAGTTTGCCACAAGCCACCTGGGAGACACACCAAACATGTGGAAGAAGGTGCTCTGGTCAGATGAAACCAAAATCAAACTTTTTGGCCACAATGCAAAACGATATGTTTGACGTAAAAGCAACACAGCTCATCACCCTGAACACACCATCCCTAACTCAGCTGTAGTTATCTTCAGTTCATCCAGAGTGATCATGGGCCTCTTGGCTGCATCTCTGATCAGTCTTCTCCTTGTTTGAGATGATAGTTTGGAGGGACGGCCGGGTCTTGGTAGATTTTCAGTGGTCTGATACTCCTTCCATTTCAATATAATTGCTTGTACAGTGCTCCTTGAGATGTTTAAAGCTTGGGAAATCTTTTTGTATCCAAATCCGGCTTTAAACTTCTCCACAACAGTATCTCGGACCTGCCTGGTGTGTTCCTTTGTCTTCATGGTTCTCTCTGCGCTTTAAACAGAACCCTGAGACTATCAAAGAGCAGGTGCATTTATACGGAGACTTGATTACACACAGGTGCATTCTATTTATCATCATCAGTCATTTAGGACAACATTGGATCATTCAAAGATCCTCACTGAACTTCTGGACTGAGTTTGCTGCACTGAAAGTAAAGGGGCCGAATAATATTGCACGCCCCACTATGTAAATTTTATAACTTTATGTTTGAAGCCTGAAATGTGGCGAAATGTTGAAAGGTTCATGGGGGCCGAATACTTTCGCAAGGCACTGTATCTTTAGATTTCATGCTAACGTGTGCATCACTGTTTATATCTTTGCAGTGCCTTGACTTGCCAGGCTCCCAGTCGTCTTCTCCCCTCAGTCACATGGACTCGTACACCGGACACTCCATGGACCCACTGCTGCCCCCTGTGGACAGAAAGAAAAGTTCAGACACAGACTACGAGATTCCCCAAAGACACCGGCAAAGATTACAGGTGCATATTGTGATCTTGTATACATCTACTGATTCTAAAAAGTCGCATTAGGTTCAGGAAAACAAAGTAAATATCGCCAAATAACAAAATAGTTCTCATCAAACGTTCCACCAATAAAATACTGGATGTTTTGGTGTTCTGTAATGACCTAAAAAAGTGTTAATTGCTAACTAGCACATTAGCATTAGCGCCAACCCCTTGTTTATTTGTTGAATCTAATCCAATTGATGTGGAAAAAATAATAATCATTTTAAATCCAGTTAAACTTTCAGCTACAAAGGCTTACATTGTTCAGAACGTTGTTTTTCTCTTCCACTCAAGACCCATCGCTCCAGAAATCCCTGTCTTCACTCACTTTTCCTTGAAATCATATTAAACTATTATTTATATAAACAGTCTATAATTTACTTTTTTGAGAAGGTTTTATCATCATGGTAGTCTTGAAATAATTATTAAGGGAATAGAAGAAAAAAGGTACCAAAAAGTATTGTCCACAAAATTTAAACGGCACTTGATTATTTTTTAAATACCATTATTATTATTGATGGATTCCTAGGAAAGACCAGAAGAGCGGTACCATGAACCTCGGCTTACCCTGCGGCCCCCGAGCCTCGCTGCTCCTTACGCTCCTGTGCAGAACTGGCATCATCAGCCCGAGAAGCTCATCTTTGAGTCCTGTGCCTATGAGGCGTCTGTAAGCTCGATTCATTCTCTTAGCTTGTTAGCTTGTATGCTAAGAAACGTCCTAAGTCTTTAAACATTCTCTTTGCAGTACCTGGGTTCCATGCTTATAAAGGATCTGAGGGGAACGGAGTCGACCCAGGACGCATGTGCCAAAATGAGGGTAGGTCGTCCGTATTCTGTTGTGTGTCTCATGTGTGACTTTTGGGGATTGTTGTGTATTTTATTGTATAATTCTAACTTCTATTGTAACCCACTGCTGCATGGGAGGCCTGTCTCACTGTGTGTTTGTGTAGAGCAGGGGTCTCCTACCTTTTCCAATCGGAGAGCTACTTTTATACAACAGAAGAGGCAGAGAGCTACTCCTTTTTGCAGTCATAATAAAAATCTATGTAATAATAACTACAATAGAGGACACACATGGAGAACACATGTGAAATATACTATTACTGTATAAGCCTATATTTTTACTTATAAATAATAGATATGTAATGACTCCAAATGTATTCATTAAATGTCATTTGTTAAATTGTAAATCCTTTGGCGAGCTACCTGAAAGGGGCTGGAGAGTTATCGGTAGCTCCCGTGTCACAGGTTGGAGACCCCTGGTGTAGAGTGTGTTTGTTTTGCAAATGAATTATCCCTTGGGATCAATAACGTTTTCTAAATGTGAATCTTCTCAAATAAATGTAGGATAAACAGTATTTATTCTACACTTTTCACTGCATTCTAATGAAGTGTGTTGTTCTGACTGTGTTTTCTTTCTCCAGAGGTCAACAGAGCAGTTACGAAAAGTGCCAATCATCGTCCTATCAATCACGTACAAGGGAGTGAAATTTATTGACGCAGCCAATAAGGTTAGCACCACTAAAGTCTATCATCAACAAGCTCTGATCCAATCCACTTTAACTGTATAGCACATTTCATAAACAAACAGCTTTCATAATACTGCACATCTATTAAAATTCACTCGCACATTGGCCAAAAAAAAAGAAGGAAGGAATATAGAGGGGCGACAGTGGCTCAGTTGGCAGAGCATTGGACTTTGAAGCTAATGGATTCGATCCGCCTTCAACTCATGTCATCTACTCCCACTGACGTCTGCTGTCATTGTGTCCCTGGGCAAGACACTTTACCCCACTATACTTGAAGCCCCAGCTGTCATCGCTGACCCACCACCTGCAGGGGGATTGGAAGGCAGCTCAAATTACCACACAATTAATGAAAGAATTACAAATATAACACATTTTAGAAAATCTATCCTATTAGCATGAGTGCATATGTGTGTGTATTATAAAATATCTGTTGCATTTTGCGTTTTTTCCCAGAACATCATTGCCGAACACGAGATTAGAAACATCTCGTGTGCAGCGCAGGACCCTGAGGACTTGTGCACGTTCGCCTACATCACGAAAGACCTGCAGACGAGCCACCACTACTGCCACGTCTTCAGCACCGTGGACTTGGTGAGAGGCTGTTTAGAAAGAGGTCGACTCGTTTGGGGCTGCTGTAGTCACTCAGGCGCCAGAAGGACACTGAAAGAATAATACTTGTTAGTGTTTAGAAAGTGATTCATGCGTAGAAGGGATGTTTCAGTTTAGTGTCTTTGGGGCATCTCACTTGGTTATAGGCACTTTTACCATCAAACTCAACCAGTTGGTAAAGGCCTATAATAAAAATAACAAAAAATGTGTTGTTATAAGTGGTCCTACAACTTATGTGAAACGTATGTGTTTGTGTGAAATTATGGGATATTAAAAGTTCCCTGAAGGAGACAGGAGGGGGAGCTGTAGCACGAGGCTGGAAAGGCTGGGCGCTAAATCCCAGGTTACACTTAATAATTAGATTATCTTTGCTTTGACATCATGATTGACTTGATTTACTGTACTTATAAGTTTATAAGTGGTTGTCTTTGTCAATGCTTCTATAGACCTGTCACAATAACATGTTGATGGACGATATTATTGAAATGACAATTACAATTTCAATTACATGCAATCACAAAACAGAAGGAGAATTACTGTTTTTAGTCTGTTTATAGCAATAAAAGTCATCCATTTAAACAAATAGACTGAAGAATTATGGCATAATTAGAATATTTAGTTCAAAATAGTTTATATTACAAAGAAAATAGCAATATATTCTTACTATTGCAAAGACAACGTACGGACGATAAATGTTGATCCCTATAAAATATTGTTTGTCCATGCATTAGTTTGTGATAAATGTATAATTATTGGGACATAACTATGCTGTTAGTAGTAAGAATTTAATTTCAAACCTTATGCAAAAGAAAACAATCTAAACAATAAGCAAGATACAAAATAAAAACAAGACACATTATAAACAGTTTGAAGAAGAGGCTGGACGAAGCTCCAACCCCTCTCCCTCATTCATCAAAACTCAACACAATCACATACACGCAGCACAACACACACACTTAACAACACATGCAGAACACACGACAAGACAACACACACATACCACACACATGACACTCATTCAGTCCAATGTGTTGTGTTAAGTTACAAATACCCTTAAAGTTGCTACACATCATCTTCAAAACCCATGAGACCTTAATACACCAACATATAGACCAAGCAATCCCATCAGCAATGTTCTGTGTATAAGTGCCAAGTTCTTATTCCATGACAAACTATGATAATTGATGTAACCCTCGATGCGTGTGTGTGTGTGTGTGTTGTGTGTCTTTTAGAACCTGACCTATGAGATTATCCTGACGCTGGGCCAGGCGTTCGAAGTGGCCTATCAGCTCGCTCTGCAGGCTCAGCGGACCAAACAGCAGCAGAACATCCCTCTGGCCTCCACCGCGGAAATCGTAGAAACTAAGTCCACAAGACCGGTGCCAAAACCCCGGGGCAGTGTGCGCAAATCTGTAAGTACCACAACAAATGGCTGAGAGCAAGACGTAGAATGGAGCGACAGATTCTAAGCAGCAGAATGTAAACAGGAGGATGAACTAAATAGCAAAAAAGTAATTGGTTGCGAGTAGGACTGGGTTTAAGGCATATTTTTTTACTGTTTAATGAAAATATAAACAAAAACTCTTCATTTTGTGGACTGGCCTGTTGCATAGACTCATAACGACTGAACTACAGAGGCTTGTAGAAACATTACTGTATACACCTTATTATTACACCTTCCATTTTCATGAATCTAGATTAATGAGAATAATTAACCTAAACTATAACATCTCTAAATGTGCTGGTGCAATGTTCTTGTGTTGTTCACACTGTCCACACCTTTCTTTTACATCACACCTGTCTGTGTACTGCTGGGTGCTCCTCCTCTTCCTCCTCCTCGTCATGGTCTAACTGCTGTATCTACCTCCTCCTCCTCGTCCTGGTCTAACTGCTGTATCTACCTCCTCCTCTTCATCCTCCTCTTACTGGTGCTTGTCCTCATCCTCGTCTCACTGCTGTGTCTACCTCCTCCTCTTCCTCGTCCTGGTCTCACTGCTGTGTCTACCTCCTCTTCCTCCTTCTCGGCCTTGTCCTTGTCTCACTGCTGTGTCTACCTCCTCCTCTTCCTCGTCCTGGTCTCACTGCTGTGTCTACCTCCTCCTCTTCCTGGTGCTCCTCCTCTTCCTCCTCCTCTTACTCATGCTGTGTACTTGTGCCCAATTCCCTCCTCCTCTCACTGCTGTGTCTCCCTCCTCCTCATCCTGGTCCTGGTCCTGGTCCTGGTCTCACTGCCGTGTCTCCCTCAGGACTCCCCTCCTCTCGACAGTCGCTGCTGTTACTGTTACTCCTGCTCCTCTCAGCGACCCTCTGCTCTGCCGCTGCTCTCTGCCTCCTCTTCCTCCTCTGCGGCTCAGGTGCTGCTCTGTGCCTCCTCTTCCTCCTCTGCGGCTAACACTGTTCACAGAGGGCTTCATCCTCTTCCTGAGCTCTCCTCTTTCTTCTACATTCTTCAGCTGTCTGGGAAAGAGGCCAAAACTTTTCTATGCCCCACACCTGCTTTGTTATTGCCATGGCAGATGTATAAAGATATATTTATAGCCGTGAGCCGCTCATGTCTCCACAGAACCAAGCAGTAACGTGACTTTCACTGGCCATAATAATAATCAGAGTAATAATGCATTAATCAAATCTGAGTGATTCTGAAAAGCGCTTCTTTGGACGCTCAAAGATGTTAAAAATAGTATTATTCCTTTACTTGTATGCGAAAGCCACATCCCGGCAGACCTTTGAAGCTGTGCAGGGCAGGGCCTGGTTAGTACTGTGATGGGAGACCTCTGGGAACAATGCCATAGTGGTGCGGTTGCGGCTGTAAAGTGCCAACTGTTGTCATGTCCTCAGGCAAGACACTTCACCCACATTGCCTTGAATGAGTCTGGTGGTGAAGTCTAATGTTGTTGTTGCCAGCCTGCTCTTTTCAACAGAGTGTATCAATGTCAAAACGTCAAATAAGAGTTTAAGCAGTTTTTTAAAAGAAATATAATGCACTACTCATTGATTTGGTTAGCCTCAAAGAAAATCTAAATTTGGCTCATGGTTTTAAGACAGCAGAAAAAGTGAACCAACCTGTACTTAACCATTAATGAAAGGAAAATGATCAGAAATGAGATGAAGCCCTACATTTCTTTCCTCTGATTCGGCTTACACTTGTGTCTTTCTGTCTTTGTCCTTTTTTAAATGTGACCTCTGCATAACCACAAATGCTATTGTTATTGTTCATAACATCTACACCCCCTTCAGTCAGTTTGAAGTAATACACTGTTTTAAAACTGTGATACCACTGGTTTATTGTTAACTGGGGGATTCTTGGCTCATAAAAAAAATATTAGCTATCTTAACCTTTTGTTTAACCAGAATAAGCCCGACACCCATCTTTTTCTGGCCCTCAAAAACATCTATATAAACACATACAGTTATTTAAAAACATATACTGTATTACATATTAGTTGCACGATTATGGACAACGAAAAGGTCATTTATTGCAGTTCCAGGTCTTTCAGAAGGTGCCAAATGTTCTATTGTATGTTTCAACATTCGGAAAAGCCAAAATTTGGGCTTTGGTTGGCACCCTTTCTTCTCAACAACAAGGTCCTGGCTTCAATTCCACCTCCAGACCTCTCTGACTGGAATTTGCATGTTCTCCCCGTGTCTGTCCGGATTCCCCATAACACTAAAAACATGTCCAATAGCCCCCTCTCTAAAAATTTGACTTTTCTGGTTAAATTTAGGTCCATAAAATTTGTCATAGTTTTATAGTAATAGTTTTTATATCCTTGTGCTGAGGGCAATGTGTGTAATTTTAAAACAGCCAAGTGACCATCATTCAAAAGTCTATTTACTTCTGAAATTCAACTTACAATGTGAAACTAAAATATGACTCATTACACACACAGGGAGATATATTACCTCTTTATTTATTTCTATTGTTGTGCCTCAACAATAGAACATCAAACATGTCAGAAATCTATGGTCTGTAAAGCCAGATTCTTTAAATTAAGAGAAATTAAGAAAAATAAAAACAAACAGAAGCTTTGGCATATGTACTGAGTTTATATCATATATTGGTTTCTCATTTTTTGCCACATTACAGAAATAAATGAACTTTTGAACGACATTCTAATTCTACGTCTAGATCAGGGGTGGCCAAACTCAGGCCCGGGGGCCAATTGCAGCCCTCAGTGTCAGTGTATGTGGCCCTCTGCCTCACTAACCCACAGTAGTAGTAGTCACAGATCATATACACAAGTTCACTGTGTCATCCATCCAACTTCAGCTCAGACAATATAGACCTTGTTCTAAAGCCCAGTACGTCTGGAATTCAATCATTGTCATTCAGCCAACTTCAGCTCTGTTATAGATCATTTTACTGCTCAGAACAGCCCGATGTCAGTCAAGACAGTCTGTGACGTCAGCCCCTGGACTAGTCTGGTGAACTAAAGTGGCCCTCTTAACAAAAAGTTTGGACACCCCTGGTCTAGATAATACTACACACACATACACGCACACGCACACGTTGATAACTCTGTCTTTACATTCACAGGGAGATCACAAGGACCAGGAAGCAGATTCCCATTCTCAGAGCGGCGTCACTTGGCTCGCGGACCCCAAGGAGTCCAAACGCACTATTAGCACTAAGTACGAGACCACTATATTCTGAGCGGACCTCCTTTCTCTCCTTTCCTCTCCTCGCCTCGCCTCACCAGCCCTCCTCCTCCTCCTCCTCTATCCCGATGTCTATGTGCCTTCCTTTACACCTGACTTTTTATTTTTTCGTCTTTTGGCTGGATCCTGAACTACCACACTACTTCCCACTCGGTGCTGGGCTATCGCAAAACTGCCACCAACACTTACTAATCACTACCTGAAAAATCGGCACCTTTTCTCAGTTCCTTTCCAGCGTGTTTTCTCCCGTCACAAGCCTGCTGCCTACTCTATCCTCTATCCTCGGCTTGCTGTAAAATACTTCCGAAAAAGCAATCGAGCGTGACATCTTTTTCTCTTCTCCTCCATGCTCCTGTCGAATCACCAGAAGACGTCAACTTTGAGGTTTTTCTGTCTGATCAAAAATTCTTACTGTATGAGCTGCTGGGGTACTGACTCTAGCGCTTCTCTTCTTCCTACGCCTGACTGGACGTGTTTACCGGGGAAACTGTGACTAGTCCGAAGTCCTCAAGTTCATGCAGTCTTTATAGCATACAACACAGATTTTAGCACTGTGATGTGGCCTATCTGTAGCTAAATATCTCTGTAGCAACGACTGTAGTAGCCAAAGTACGTGGGCTCAACTATGCTTGCCTCTACTCTCTCGATACTCTCGAGGTTCACGTTTGCTTTGAAACGAGCACTTTCATGAAATCTATCACTTTGTTGTTTGCCTGTCCTTTCTCTTTTGTTGGAGTTTACAAAGTCTGCCTTTTGTCGCCTGCTTACATTGCCTTTTGTTTCGTAAAGTTACTCATTAATTGCATTGAAAAGAAGTGGATGGATGTGGATGTGCTGTTAGTCACGATGTGAGTTGTATGTGCTTTTAACTGTGCATGTGTGTCCTGCCCTCAGCTGAGCACTGGCCGCTCCCAGAGAGGCATGAGCTGGATGTAGGACTTTTGGAGTAAGTCAGTCCTGCTGAGGAGCATCGGTACAGACAAGAGGAGCCTCGCCACAGGAACTGCACACACTCTGTTATGTTCCATGAATTCTCTCTGATAAATACAAGCTCATTATAAAGAGGATGTACAAACACCGCTGAACGCAAAAGCTTAGAAAGAGGAAGAGGAAACAGAGCAGGACATTGATGTTTCTGTTGTAGCAGAGCAAAGGGGAACGTGGTACTGACTGAACTGTCCTTGTTTGTTGCATGTTTGACGAGCAGAACCATGTTCTTTGATGTAACACGTCATGTTACTGTGATCTTCTCTAATGTACTTTGCACAAAAGTTGAACCAAACTCTGAGGACAATGGGCAGAGGATCTGACACTACAGACTGTTTTTATCTGAGGCAGGGTGGCTTTTCTTTCATTTACAAAAGTTTTGTACGTTTGAATTGTTTCTATGACAATGGCCTGTCCTAAAGACGAAACAGGATCAGGCGTGGTACGCTGCAGCTCTTCCCTCCTGCTCCTTTCTATTTTATAAACAAAGTGAATCACTAAACCTGCCGTGCAGGCTGCTACAACAAAGGCCACATGATGTCTCCAGTGTGGGGACTGTTAAAGGTGTATTCAGACCAGCTGATGTGTTGATGGTACAAATACTGTAGAGAGAGCGGTACATGGGTCAGTCACTGGCCCCTGACCGTCAGACTGGTCGCATTTAGCTTTTGCACATTGTTCAAAATCTGGAGCTCTTTGGGACTGTCTGATCTCAAGGATCACATGAATATTGTACATGATTATAGTTGTCTGTATTTTGATACTTGAATGATTTTATTTTATAGATATCTATATGTATATGTATGTATGTATGTAATTTTGACATTTGTCAAAAAAGAGAAAAGGACTATGTCATAACAGAGTAAACATATCGTGAATAAATACCCTGTGATTATAAAGGCTGAGGATGATGCTCAGCTGAGGGACCTCACTTCTAAAAGATTGTACATATCTTGGGCTTCCAGTCTTTTCTATGATTATTTTCATAATTGTACAATGATTAAATGGCTCAAGTCATTTCTGACTGACTCGTTATTTGTTCTTTGATACTAAAAACAAACACTTGTATTTAGCTTTGACAAGCCTGTGTTCTTAAGGTTAATCAGCAACTGCTGAAGACATTTCTCATTCTAAGCATCTACCTGAGTGACTGAGCAGAGCTGTCATTTAGTCCACTCGACTGTTACAGTTAGAAACAGTTTAATACTGAGACATTATAATATCTTACCATCATGTTCTCCATGTCTGTGGAGAAAAAATAGTCTAAATGGTAAACTAAAGTGAAGTGGCTGAGATGCAGGAAGCGCACATGAAATCTGTTGTCCGATTGGTTGAAGGAGTTTTGCGCGCACCGCCCCCTCATTGGCTGCACGCGCTCTGTGACTGACGCTGATTGGCTCCGCGGGATGTCAGTATTTCCACCTGTTCTGTCACTTCTGCTTTACTTTCTTTTGCTTTGGGAAAGAGAAGCGACAAAAATCCCGGCTGCAGCTATGGACTGATTTGACATTTTCACAAGTCAACTCCCTTCTTCTCTACGGTGAGTCCAGCTTTCTAAGCAGCCTATTTACTTATACAGAACGTCTCCGTGTCCTGTGCAAATATCATGACCTACTGTCTCCTGCAGCTATAAACATATACCTATACTCTTGCTTCTGTTCATGTGTAAAGATACATCACAAATACAATTAGGTATAGGACACATTCTGGTCATAGAAATACGCAAATGGAAGCAGAGGGTTGACATTGTTGAACATATTTGCTTGTTCTTGCAGCCTCAGTTGCACAACACTAAGCTCTGGTCCTATGTTAATCATTAAACAAGCATTGACTGTAGTTGTCCTTGGTCACATACTTGACATATTTGGATATTTTATTATCTCCAATTCTATAGTTGCCTGGAATACTGTTTCAAGGAATCCTAATTTGCTACTGATAATAATCTATGTAAATATAAAACTTTCCCACGTTTATATCTGTGCCATAACTTCATGTAATGTCTTTTGTTCCTGCCAGTCTAACCAGAGAGCTTCCAACCACGGATCAATAATGTGAGCACTATTACAAAGCAAGCAAAGTAGCATTCCTGTTTGTGTCCTGAGTCAGCTATGGGTGTAGTAGAGCTATGCAGAGGTGGTGGCCCAGAGTGTGTTCTGTCTGGGAAACTAATGGGAGTGACTGTAATTAGCAGCTGATAAAACCTCACTGGGGAGTCCTTTAGAGAAGCACCCTCTGTGTTTTGTTTTCACTAAACATGTGGATAAGTTGTGTGCCTGCACTCTGGAACTGTTTGCGTCAACAGTGCACGGATGTTCTGGGAGGTGCTGGGAAACTGTCACCTTGTATTAAGTTACAATCTAGATTTATTTGAGCTCAGGGCGACACACACATTTGATACAGCAACAAAAAATACATTGTTTATGTGCTATATACAGTAGAGCTCAATAGGAGTAGGCAGAAGTAAAAAAAAAAAATATATACAAAGTTATGAGTTTTTAAAATACTAATAAGTCTTTTTTTGTGCACTTCAGTCCGACAGGTTTTTAAAGTACAGATCAAACCATGTTAATCACATTTGAAAGTCCCAGTTCAATGGTCTTTGCGGGCACAAGTTTGTCAATATTAGTTCAGTCAGGCTGAATCAAAGTCGTGTGTAATTATTCAGTGTGACGTGGGCACTGCTGGTATGTTGTAAACACATTGTTAGTGGTTTTGTGAAGTCATAAACCGTCAAATAAAAGTGTTTTCTATTTCCAAATTATAATAGTAACAGGAACACCTCTTCTGACCCTGATTAGAAGTCTCCATCCCCTTTAGGTCTTAGTAGTGTGTACAGTAAATCTCTCATCTTTGACAGTCTATGGCAGGCATGTCCAATTTTGAGGCCCGTGGGTCAAATGCGGCCCTCTCTTTCATTATGTATGGCCCCATTCCTTGTTTATCTAAAGTAGTTTTGAGATCATCTAGCCAACTTAATCTCAGCCAATATAGAGGTATAATTCATTCATATTGTACCTTGTTGTAAAACTCAGGACCTCTAGATTTCAGCTATTTACTTTATTTGTAAATACTGGAATTTCTTGTGTCACAAAATCATTCTATATAGCTTATGTAGCTGGTGAGATGGTAAACATTTGTCATTCAGCCAACTTCAGCTCTGTTATAGCTCATTCTAAAGCTCAGAACCAGAATCCAGTTAAAACCACACAACAATCCGGGTTGTCGACTACTCTTCGGATCGGTCTGAACTAAAGAGGCCTTCTTACTAAAGCGTTTGGTCTATGGAGTCTTGTGTGCTCGTTGTGGATGTGGTTCTGTATCCTGCCCCGCTAAAGTTGTCCATAAATTCCTGGGCTGCGATGGTTAGAAATGTCAAATGTTTTATCATATCAAACATGTTCATTTGATAGTGTATGGTTTCACACAACCACTAACACACACTTTGTCCTGAACTACATAGACCTACATGTTGTAACTGGCCAGGATAACTGGAGCACCTGGAGGAAACCTACACAGAAAGTCCCCATCTTAAGGTGAAACATTGTCCTTCATACGCACCAACACGTGCCAAAGCAAATATGGATTTTTAAAATGTTTTTTTCTAAATAATGTCACCACTTCTAGAAACTTTTTGATGAGGATTTTTTGACCACAGCTGATATTTACGGACAAAGAAGCATTTTTTGTTTCCCGTGGATTGCCCCAGAAATTACTTCAGCTCTAAACTAAGACTAGACCATAGTGACCAGGAATGACTTTTCAGCTGCTTTCCATCGCAACATTAAACTATAGGCTCTTCAGACGTGTGTGATCTCACATGAATTCCACGTATTAGAATATTATAATGTCAACACCCATGAGTGAATGAACTGATTTAAACTTAAGTTTGCAGAAGTCATTCCCCTGGCAGGAACTACACATTTGGACCAGTTCCTCTCAGTTTTGCAATCCCTCTCAGAAGTAACACACAACTACTGTATGAGAAAGTGCGTGTGTGCGTGCTTGTGTGTGTGTGCTTGCGTGTGTGTGTGTGTGTGTGTGTGTGCGTGTGGGATAGTGGCCTGATAGAAGAGGAAGTTCAAAGATGAAGATTCCCCTGCAGTCGTAAAGACCAGCGGAGGCCTGATCAGAGAGCTGCAGATAACAATAGCACTTTTCAACAGCTCAAAGAATTCGTAAAGAATGAGTGCGTACAGAAGCTCACAGATGTTATCGCTGCAGGATTATTATAGTCTGGACCCACAGCACCTTTGTGGCTCAACAGCTCACCTCATTTTCATTTTGTTTAACAGATAATATCTACACCAGAGCATTGTAAAGCGCTTTGTGTGACCTTCGTTTGTGAAATGCGCTATATAGATAAAGAATAGTTACTGTACTCACTGACTGTTCACATGATGAAACAGATCATTTTTCATTCGGTCTAAGTCACATTTTTGAATAATATTTCTGTTTTATCATTTATTTCTGAAGCAAGTACACTGCGATGGTCAACAAACATGATTTGAAATTCATTCTTGATCCTGTGTCTTTAATGTAACACTATGTTTTTAACCGCAGAATATACACTTTTTTTTCTTGAAAAAATCAGAATATACATAAACACACACGCACAGGTTCAGGAGACTTGTGGTTCACAGCAAGAAGGTCTTGGGTCCCACTTCAAGATGGATTTTGCATGCTCTCCCCGTCCCTGCATGGATTACCTCCAGGTGCTGCGGTTTCCCCTCACATTAAAAACGTGTAGAATAGGCCTTGTATGCACCTCCTGTGTACAAGTGACCCCGCTTCCATCACTGTGTGTAATTACAGCTGTATAAATGCAGTGTAAGTAAGTAATCTTTATTTATATACCGCCTTTCACAGACCAGAGTCTCAAAGCGGTTTACAATTGTTAATTTTGGGCATTTGTCTCTCACTCCACACAGAGATGGGAGCAGGGTCGCCAGTACAGGAGGCACATGCCAGACCTATTGTGCATGTTTTTAGTGGTAGGGGAAACCGGAGTGCCCGGAGGAAACCGGAGTGCCCGGAGGAAACCTACGCAGACACAGGGAGAACATGCAAACTCTACTCAGAAAGGCCCTGTTCCGACCGGGATTCGAACCCAGGACCTTCTTGCTGAGAGTGCTATCCACTCTGCCACCGTACCGCCCACGGTGTGTAATTACAGCTGTGTAAATGCAATGTGTAATTACAGCTGTGTAAATGCAATGTGTAATTACAGCTGTGTAAATGCAGTGTGTAACTACAGCTGTATAAATGCAGTGTGTAACTACAGCTGTATAAATGCAGTGTGTAACTACAGCTGTATAAATCCAGTGTGTAACTACAGCTGTATAAATGCAGTGTGTAATTACAGCTGTGTATTCTCACTCAAACAGAAGGAGTCCGGCTGCTGCGTGTTTTCCAAATGCCAGAGCTGTCATTTAACAGGAAACATGTGACAGCTCTGACTCAGACCAGATCCACTCTGTCCTCACAAACATACACAATATGTGTGTGTTTGTGAGGACATTTGTGTTTACACACAAAACATGTGTGTTTAGGACTGAAAGGCACTTACATGGATCACAGAGACCATCATGACATCATGGCATTAACCAGTCGTTTAAAATCATGTGATCTGAGAAATAGTGGTCAGCGAGCAAAGAAACAGACGTGTAAAGCATAGTATATTCAGATTCAAATTCAGATTCTGTTTTCTTTGCCATTTGCAATAAAAAAAAAACCACATTGGAATACATTAGCAAAAAGTCTCCAGTGTGCACAGACAAATACAGACATAAAACAACATTAAAAGACATAAATAAACCAGTAAACAAATGTCACTGTGAAATCGATTAGCTAAAACAGTTTAAAAACAAGTGCAAATCATTAAAGTGCTCTGTTCACACTGATAACAGCTTGTGGATAAAAACTGTTAGCGTAACGAGATGTCCTGCATCTCAGAGAGCGATATCTTCTGCCAGAAGGAAGAAGCTGGAACATGGCTTTCCCAGGGTGGCCAGAAGAATCATTGACAATCCTAAGAGCTTTGTTTAAAAGTCTCTTTTCTTTATCTGTGATGTTTCCAAACCACACAGACAAAGAACCAACAAGTAAACTCTCAATGGTGCAGCGATAAAAGTTAAGCAGAATCTTAGAGTTAGTGGTAAATTCTCTAAGTTTACGCAGAAAGTAGAGACGCTGACGAGCTTTCTTAACGACTCGGTCAGTGTTTTTAACCCATTTCAGGTCGTTAGACAGAGTTAAACCCAGAAACTTGCACTCCTCTACGATCTGCTCCTGGGAGTTGTCGATTACGACAGGCAAATGAGAACTATTGCGACTGAAGTCGTAGACCAGTTCACATGTTTTGGATGCGTTCAACTGGAGGTTGTTAGTTTTACTCCACTGAACCACATTTTGTATCTCTGCTCTATAAGAGGATTCATCATTGTCACTGATGAGACCGATGATGGTGGTGTCATCAGCATATTTAATGATCAAGTTTGAGTCAGAGAAGGACACACAATCGTGAGTGTACAAAGTAAAAAGCAAAGGACTCAAAATACATCCCATCCCATCCATATGAGAGATTAAATATGAATATTTAATATTTAATATTTGATTTTATATATATATATATATAAAATCATAATCAGAATATTCATATTTACTGGCATAGTTTTATGCCACAGTTTGTGGAGAAATAAAGATGGGAGGAAGACCCACAGTTCACTAGTTCAGGTTTTGCATATTTTACTGTGGAGGTGTTTGGCTAGGTTAACCATAGGTTAACCAGGAAATACAATTTTAATAAAGGAAATATGTCTAAACCAGGAGGAAGTGAAATATGTCCTTAAGTTCTATAGTTACCTGCATTGAGTTTGTCAGACAGACTTGTTGAAAGAGAAGTGCAACAGTCTTTGAGGACGGCAGTTTTGTTGAATAAAAAATATGTTTTATACTGCTGCAATAAATAAACAAAAACATTGATGATCTTAAATATGATTTAAACATTTTATTCCAAATGTGATCCAGGTTCAGGAGAGAGATGCCGAACAGTGACACGTGGCCTCGTGCCGTCGCCGTGGAGACCCTCAGTAACATGGACAGTGCCCACAGCTGTGACAGCGTCATCAGTGTGGTGTCCGCCTGTGTGAGTCTGATATCCTGCTGCTGCTGCTGCTGCTGCTGCTGCTGCTGCTGTGGGGCAGACGCGGCTTCTTTGATGGTTTCTGCCAATGTGTGTGAGGCGTGAGGGCAGGGAGAGAGAGAGAGCAGGGCCTTCATCCCCATCGTTGTCAGACTGTACAATAAGTCACTTTAATGACCTGCTATAGTCACTTTTATTTGTTATTGTACATAACATATCTTATATTTAACCTTTAACATGTTTGCACACTTCCTGTCTTTGCGCACACCCTGAGTGATTCTATTTAGGCCAGTATGACATGTATATTTCTCCATTTTGAGATTGATCAAATTTATCTTGTCATGGTAGCAAAAGGAAACGAGCTGCAACAATCAAATGCATCCAGGCCCGTGGCGCTGATGTTTGCACACAGGACGTGTCTGCCTGCACACATGATCAGATCAAAAACATACTGCTTTTATGGTTTTACTGCTGAAAAGTATTGGAAGAACAGAGCTTCACTGCGAGGACTCTCCACAGATCACTCATTTAAAACGTAAACTCACAGGTGTCTTTATTGTCTACAGAAAAAATCATATTTGTCCCATATAACATAAAAACAGTAATGACAAAGAGTATATTCAGAGTTAGGTATTATTATTTTTAAGCGTTACGACAACCCCCGACCCAGAATTGGACAAAGAGTACAAAAATGAATGGATGGTTGGACAATCTAGAGTAAAAGCAGCCCTAAAGAAATAGGAATTGTGCTACTACCCTCAGTGACTACGAGGTGTAAAGAGAAAAGTTTTTTTTTCCTGGTCTTGGGTCTGGTTTTGATGCGGTTTTGATCTTGGTCTAGTCTTGGTGCAGGTGTGGTTTTGGTCCTGGGCTGGTCTCGGTTCAGGTCTGGTCTTGTTCTTGATCCTGGTCTCGTCTTGGGTCTGTTTTGGTCCAAAGACTATAATAACTAATGGCACAAATCTGGCAAGAAAAGGTTAAGAATAATGAGATGAAAAGTCCTCGTGTTGAAAAGTGAAACTGTGGAAAGGGTAATGTCACGTTTTGAAAAGGATGAAGGACCCAGAATGCAGGACTGCAAAAATATAAGAATTAATAAACAAAAACAAAATCCAGGATACAGAACTAAAAACTCAAACCAGGACAAAACAGGGACAAAATCACAACGGACCAACAACAAGGGGAGAGGGGCACAGGCACTGTAGTTTTATTTGTGCCGTTACTGTTGTTGTTATCGTCCCATCTTTTCTTGTTGCTGCACTATGTGAAATGTTTAAATATGTAGTGTGTTTTGGGGGTGGGCACCAATAAGCTCTTGCTTCGGCCCACTCCTTTTGAGCAGAACTTGTCTGCTCAAATAAATAAATAAATAAATAAAATATATATTAAAAAAAAATGTAAAAACCCATGAGACGCTGAAGCCGGTCATAGCAAATGATAATTGGTTGAATTTGGTGAAAGTGACAAAAATTGGCAGAAGAAGAAGAAAGAATAAACTTTTTAATAATAACAATAACAGACAAGACACAGAATGAATAAGTCCATCTCCCAGCTCAGTATTTAAAACCACTCATTACAATAGAGTTTAGAGTTTAGTTTATTTTTATATATATTTTATAGGGTTGGCTTTATTTTCACAGATACAGATACAGAGAAAATAAAAATAATCATAATTAGAAAGGAAAGAAAACAAATAAAGATTTTTTTTTAGTTTAGAGTGATTTAGAGTTTAGTTTGTTAATGTGCATTTACATTAAAACGATGGCTGCACCAGATTTACCACACGTTACTTTCCATCTGTACTCTTTGACAATATTAGTGACATCACTCATTACATCATTCACCTGTAAAAGTGGAATCTTTCTGTTCTGAATGTTGTCTCTCACACGCTCACTTTGGGTGTTATGTCACAGTAGCTGCTGTTCGTCAGTGATGGGCACGCCGTCATTCTGTTCACCCGACACCTGTGTGCTCCAAACACCAAACTCCAAACTCAAGAGACCTTCAACGTGACATCAGCACATTTCTCAACGTTTTAATCCAACCCTCTGACAGCACAGGGAGGGGGGAGGGGCGGTGGGGCTCCGCTGATAGCAAGACCATCTCTGGATTCCCTTCCATTTGTTGATTATTATTTAATCAACATGACAATATAGTATTTATATATTGACATATATAAATTTATTAAGTGACAGAGTGGGTTTTGTGCGGATATTTGATTTTCAGGCTGGATCTCTGGTGGTGCATTGTCACTCACTGCTCTAGAGTGTAGCTTTGCCATGTTGTACAATGTAACAAATGCCATGAACAAATTCCCCCAAGAAATGTCAGTAAAAACGTAACAATGTCAGTCAATGTTGTCATTACATTTGCAAAACATGAACAAGCAGGAACAGCGGAGAGACACAAAGTCCTAAATAAATCCTGTCCTTTTGTTTTGTTGGTTGCAAAGACATTTTCACATTTTCCCCCACAAAGAAGGATCTCTCTGAACGTGTATTTTGGTCCTGGCAGAGCGAGGACAGTATGGAGCACTTGTCTGCGGAGGAGAAGGCCTGTCTCATGTATCTGGAGGAAACTATTGAGTCTCTGGACCTTCAGGAGGACAGCGGTTTCTCCAACGATGAGCCGGACCCAGGTCCTTTTACACTTTTTATACTGAATGTCGTCTAAAAAAGCAGTTCTATCTTATTCAGCTTTTTCCCAGACTCCCCCTCCAGCATGTCCTGGGTCTCCCTACAGGCTTTCTCCTGTAGTCGTGGGACATGCCTGGATCATTTCCCCAAACAGGCACGCTCCTCTTGACAGGGAGCAGAGGCTCTATTGTGAGCTCCTCCCGTGAGACTATGCTTCTCATCCAAGCCACTTGCTTTCGACTTCTATCCTGTTCTTTTTCTTTTTTTTCAAACATGTACAAGCACTTTCACAACAAGAATGTGGTGTCTACACAAGTAATGGCTAAAATAAAATATTCACATAAAAATTAAATCAAATGAAAATACAGTATACCTTAGTTTGCATCATTCCAACCATCAACTGAGATACTGTTATTCCTAAGAAAGCCATAGAAAATATTCCACATTTGTAGAAAATTGTCGAGTTTGATTTTACTGACAAAGCTTATTTTTTCTAGAGCTAAAATCCTGTTCTTTTTCTAATTTAAAGATATATATACGGGTGAATTTCCAAAAATTATAGTATTGTTTAGTGTGTTTTTGTTTATTTCAAGCACACATTGAAAGTGCACATCACGTAAAACAAAAACAAAAAATAATGTTGTGAACACAGAAACGTTTTTGGTGCATAATAAAAACACCAAAAACGTTATTTATTTTTTATTTTTTAAAATAGCAGTTATGTTAGCATCATGAACAAACCAAGCACAATCTAAAATGGTGACATGTATTACTTTTGGAAGTATTCTATATATACGCTACAACAACAACAACTAATTCTTGTATAGCCCTAAATCACAACAGCAGTCATCTCAGAGGACTTAACAAAACCATTGAAATCACCAACACAGATCAGAGAATCAACAGTTAAGACACAAAATATACACATATGAATTGGTCCATAGGGCAGTCTATTTAAATCAGTTATTGTTTTGTCCACAAATGTGCTAAAACAACAACTGTCTCTTTTCTTGCAGCCAACTTGAAGAGAAAACAAGTGAGCGATTCTCTGCCTGAGCCTGAAATCAGCAGTAACATTCTGAGCGTCCTGGCTGAAAGTACATCTTCATCTGATCAACCTGAACCTGACATTCCCCAGTCCTCCGACTCCGACTCCAGTGACGTCCCCTCACACATCCCTCTAGAGCTCACACCTGCAGTTCTCCAGCCATCCTCCGGGAGCGCCACACCTGTCCCAGCCTCACAAGACACAGACGTCCAGAACTCCTTCATCCCTCCTCCGTCCGACTTCATGGACGAACCACCGTCTCCTGCTACTCCATCGTCCGACTGCCCTTCTTCCCCTTCTCCCAAGTCCACCATTAACCTGGACGTGCTTAGAAGGAGAGTGTCGGAGAAAAGTAGCCCAAAGATCTCTCCTTTAATCACAGCCCTGGCCAGACTCCCCACTTCTCCCACAAAAAGCATCCCTGAGAAGTCTGTTGGTAGTTCTCTAGCTCTTGTCGATCCTGTGCCAATCACCCAGAGCACAATTCCTGCAACTCCGGAAAGTCCCGCTACAGCTGTTGATCCGGTCTCAACCGCTGTAGTTCTACCATCAGAGGTTCCAGTTGAGCCCAAAAACCCGCCACCAGCCGTTGCTCCCAAACCCAAGAAGCTACCCCCAAACATTATCCTGAAATCGCTCAAATCCCCAGGCCATGACAGCAGCGTGGGGCATCAGTCTCCCATGGCGACGGAGCGGCCTCTGATGGACCCTCAGAAAGTGCGCATGGAGGCTTTGAGGAAACTCGGGCTTCTGAAAAGTCAGGATGGAGATCCAGGTCATAAAGTGGTACATACCAGGAGATCGTGGGCTCCAGCCTCGACCCCGCCCATCCCCTCGCCAAAGTCTCCTCCCGCATCGGCACCTTACTTCAGCAAAGTCCAGAGCGCAGTCCCGGAGCGCGCCGAGACTCTTCCCGACATCATCCCGGTACCCGCGGCCTTCAGCGATGACATACATAATGTGTTCAGTGACCCAGGCTCATCAGTCCTGGACAAGTTTGCTTCATCCGCAGGGGCTGGGGCTAAGTCTGCCACTCTGGAGCGCTCTGGGTTGGGTCTTGGTAGCGGTTTGGAGCGGGCCAAGCTGACAATGGGGGAGCTGCGTAATGCTCGCCCGCGGCCCGCCTCTCTGGGCAACGGGAAAGACTTCTCTGGCACAGTGACCGCCCAGACCACGTCCACGTCCACCGCTGGGACCTCTGACAACTCCCAGAAGCTGCCGCGCTCTCAGGGCATCAGCGTGCTCATCTGTCCCCGGGCGCAGGACGAAGAGGCGCGCCGTGATGCTCTCAGGAAACTGGGGCTGCTCAGAGACTAAACAGAAGACTCAATATACAGCGGATATGTCATATCTACATGTTTATAAACATTTCCACGCACTTAGCTATTACAGACGATGGGACTTTTGCACTCAAAAATCTAAAAATTGTTCTTTGTCCCAACCTTTTGGAAGGAATGGCTAGCTTTGTAAATACAGCCATAACTGCGTCTCAAGGCTGCAAGGGGGGAATTTTTCAAACCAGGTTCGTTTCGCCGCTGTTTTCCGAAGTTTTCCAAAGTTGATTGTGCATGGTCGTTGGTCACATGATGATTACCACAACAGCAGTTCCAGCCCTTTGTTTGGCGTATGGGCATAGAGTGGGGAGGGGCCACTCGTTGCAGCTAGCGCCATAACTGGGAGCCCATAACTTTGTATGGAGAGAATAGACCATGCTATGATCTGTATACTGTCTATAATCCAAACAGAGAAAGTTGACAAAGTAAAATATTGTGGAAAAATCAGATCATGTTTTCATTATTCTAAGTTGCTATTTGACTCTTTGGGCTGAGAGCTGATTGGCTGAGTGGTCCCCCTCCATTTCACTTTTTTGTCTGGAAAAGGCTGATCTAAAACGGAGTCAGAGGAAATGTGTGGTACACCCAAACTGCTCTAGAGCCAAGAACTAGTTCAATTTGTATATATAGCTCAATTATGTGTGGTTTGAAAGTTAGGTATCCCAGCTTTAACCAGAAACACAAAGCTTCAGCTCTGTCATTCATTTGACTATTTTTTCATAATTATAATAAAAATAACGACACTAGTAACATGCCCTAAATTCTCACCTCTTTCCATTGTACCAACTGCGGAAATGCAAAGCAGCTCATATTATGTTAAAAAAACTTGATGTATTAAATTTGTCACCTTTTTTCTTTTCTTTTTTTTCTTTCCAGTGAAGTCATTGCTCACACGTCAAACACACTGTCAGTACAGCGGGGGACTGAGACTTGCTAAACAGTGGGTCTTATTGAGAATGTGCATTTCTTTGCATACATTTACTCTATCCCTCTGCGGTTTAAAGACAATATTTCAGTGCTAATTGTAATAGACAAAGCATTCCCATCATAGTTCACAAGCGCTCCATGGAAAAACCAGTGTGACAGGTTTTTCTCCCTCATGTTCATGCAACTCAATTACTGCTTGTAATATAATTATTAATAGACAGAAATGTGATGGATGGAAGCCTAAACATTGAAAGAGCCCTGTAGTCAAAAACCTCAAACATCAATTGCATACAGAAAATACTACTTTATATCGTTCAACTATCTGTTTTGAACCGCATGCAATTGAGAGAAATAGATGAAGAGATCCTTTATTCATCCCACAGTGGGGAAATTTCTGTGTTGCATCACAAGTTACAAAACAGTAGGAATGAGGAGCACACAGCACAAGATATATAAGTACTAAAAACTAAAACTAAAAATTACAAAAATCTCTAACTCCAGCATAAAAAGAAGCAGTATAAAATCTCTATCTTTAGCATAATAAGGAAATGAGTCCTAAAATCTCCAACTTAATATAATAAGGAGCAAGTATGAAAATGCTAGTAATGTAATATATAGTCGTGTGTTCACATCTGTACGTGTTAGCAGCAGGAGGGACAGGACTCAGAGAGGTGACAGTGACACATATGGTTCCATTGTGTACATTCTGACATTATGAAAGTTCTTATTGCACGCATGAGTAAAGTAAAATGACAGTGATAGATGAGGTCCATATGGCAGGTTCTGACATTAGCAGAACTATACTCCAACAACTTTCTGAAATAGTAAGAAAAATAATCCTGTACTTTTCTCAATCACAGTCAGAATTTGAGGCAAACACTTAACATATTGCTTATAGCTATATTCTGTAGTCATTGTACACCTTTTTTTGGAATGGGATTGATGTTTTTAGAGCAGTAAAGCAGTGCTGGTTTTTGTTGGAACCAGTGATGGTATGTCGGTATGTGGACTATCAGACCTGACTGACGGGGACAGTCAGAGTGACTCTGGAGACACTTCACTGCTTACATCACCTCGCCACAGCAGCAAAGAATGGCAACTGCTTTTCAGAAGCCATGGTGTTCTTATAGTCTGTAGAATCAAGATCAAACTTTTGTTCTGCAAAGAATACGACTTACTCAAAAATGTCTTGATTGTGGTTTATTGTTCTTCATTTTATTTTTAGTTTGTTATTTAAGATATTGAATGCAATTTCTCACTTGGAAACAGATGGTAGTATGCTAGGAATAATTCTAAAGCTGATTTTTCCATCGGCAAATCACTTCTTTTAGTTCATAATGACAGTAAATGCAATACATAAAACAAGGATTAAAACAAAATTAAAATGTTTTTAAGACATATTCCAAAAATGTTTTTAAGTGAGACTGTTTGCCTTAGTCTAGAAAAAAACAGTTGAAACTGGGAAAATTGTGTTGTTCAAAAGTACAACAACTTCTGTACAACTAATATATTGTATTTACATTTATATTGTATAGTGTATTTATTACACGTTTTTCATAAATAAATCAAGCAGCATATTGATTATAATGTTGATAATTGGCTCACAGCTTGTAAAAACCCCAAATATTTTTTGAAAATGGACTAAGTAACTATCAACTATCAATATGATAACAAACAAAGGCTTGACATACGTCACTTTGAGTAAGGATATCATACATGGTTTTATATTTGAAATTTTATATTTGAAAAATTACAGAAATCACTTTTGAAAGATATTCTAATCTGCAGAGTTAGTCCTGTTTTAAATCCGTTTTAAGGAAATGACTCAAAAACATAAAGCATTTAAAACCGTTTTTATTCTTAATACTTTCATAGTCAAAGCTGCACAGAGACCTTTCCAACACCAAAGAAGTCCAGAGCGCTATTCAGTAAAACCCAAATCTATATAATTCATTTCTAATTTTGTCCACCAGAGGGGAGTAGAGACTTAAATGAGAAAACAGTCCTTTTTCTACGCCTGCTCTGTGCCTGCCCCGTAAATGTGCTGAGAGCAAGTACAACTAATTGTGCACAAAGTATATATTAATGAGAGATTTCAATAAAGTCATGTTTCAAATGGTTGCAGCTAAAACACACATAATAATTATCTAAAAAAAAAAAAAATGTTTCTCCTTATGTTTCATTGAACGCACAGGCAAACCTATATGTGGCATCTCAGCTATACCTCCACACCACACACCTCCCTCACAGATCCCCCAGCTCTCACAGCATTCTTTTTATGGCCAAGATCAAAGGTGTTATTCATGCTGACTTGCAGAAAATTGCACATACATCGCGCCCCCTTGAAAAGTCTGCAGATTAACACAAACCTGCTTCTTTGTAATGTTGTTGAAATATTTATTTGCCCACATCGTCTTCCCTTGTTTTGATCTCTAGAAGCCCTATCAATGCATTTACATTCCCACACAAAAGCAGCGTGTAATAAAGATTGTGATCATCTGGAAGAGACATCTCAGAGTCTTGTTTTTCTCTGGAGGAAGTGATTCAGGTCATTGTGACTCTGTGGAGGCTTCTGGAAGACTTTATATACTCGCCCAAGTGTCACCGTGCCCCAAGCTGCTTCAGGGATGGGGTATATATGGGTTTCACTCGTTTTCCTGGACGTTTTCCTGGACTTTGAAAAGAAAACATGTCTTTAACACTAGGTTTCCCAGAGTTCTGAAACTACCAGAACTCCCAGAGCAGTCATTTTGACGGCTCCCAATCGAAATTAGTAGAGTTCTGAAAAAAAATCCCCCAAAAAGTGTGCAATTTATAACTGATTTTATTGCATATGGGTTTTGACTTGAATGCATGCTATAACTGGTTAATATACATGAAATACCGCAAAACTTAAATCTAACTGATGCAAGTAAACAGTTTGTTGCTATGGTAACTAGCATTTTTTCCAAGCCTGCTCTGAACCAGTCTAGGACCAGACTAGTATCAAGATCATTTCATAAACATAACTAATTAGTTATAAACTATAAACAGGACATGTTTCACAGTTTTGACTATGACTGAAAAACAAAAACATACATAGGCGGAGTAATCACACTTCCAAATGGAAAGCCGTCAAATTGTCTGCTCCGGGAGTTCTTGTGTTATTATTACAGCTTTGTCTGTGCTTGGCTCTGTTTTAGGCCACACTTGTGCTCCCTGGTGGGTTTGAGATGGGCCAGGTATAAGGAGTGTTATCAGCAAAGACATTGGGCTCATGGGACATCCCCCTGTGCCCTGCGCCTGTTCCACACTGCTGTGCTTACCTACATACAAGAAAGAGCTATAAAAAACACAAGAGCTCATTTCCACAAGAGCCTATTTCAACTGTATGAAGAAAGAGCACAAAACAGCAGGCTATTTCAGCTATATGAGGTCTGTGCCAAGGATGAGTGGGAAGGAAATGGAACAGGGCCATGTCAGGATCAGTAAACTTTACATAACTTACCTACAGAAATAATATTATTTTTGGACAAAAGTAAAAAAATAAATTTAAAATAAATTAAAAAAGTAAAGAGACTATTGTCATACATATACACATTTAGAGAATTGTTTTGTGAAATAATGTATTAAATAGATAATATATGGTAAAACAAGTATGAGGGGTCAAAAAAATTGCTTTATGCCTGTAACTCCCTAAGCTACCACCAGAGGGAGGAGTTGATTTAGTTTAGTTTTTTTACAAATTAGAAAATATCCGGCTGCAAGTGCATGAGAGCCCCCACACGTGTGCTCAGTAGTATTTGGCGCAAAGCATCATGGGAGGTTGTCCACTTAGCAAAACCAAGAGGACCAGAGGAATGCCCAAATATGGGCAAGTTCCGCTAATCTTTCGGTGCCCATGGTGGCACATGCTCTACTGAGCACAAGCCATTGATTTGAAAATGCCGCAATCTTGGATTGTTGGGGCTTGAATTTCACCCAAGGACCAGCTAAACTCATATTGAAGAGATAACTTTGTTTTAAAAAGCAGAAAACTACTCTGAATGTCATTGTGGTGCATCATACATACATCATAGTATTACAGAACTGAGACAGGAGATTGTTGACAGAAGGGGTGGAGTTACATGTTTGTGCCAGAAGTTTATGAAAGGTAACCCAGATGGATATGTAAAAAAAAAAAATGGTCTGTGATGGATGAAGTAAAAGTGGAGTACTCACTGTTTTTTATGGTAACTCACTATTCACTATTTACTACTGCGTTGCATTGAGCCTGTCAAAAGGTAATCGTGGACAAAAATACCTTTCTGTCCTTCCACAATCTGCGAAGCATAGATATCATACAGACGTCAACAAAAGTTCTTTGTGAGGGCAATTACCTCTCGGGTGGAAACGGCGAGTGCCTCAGACTCCTGCCTCTGCCTTGTTACCTGACATCCACCTGCTTCACACGTTTAGAATCTGCTTTGGTCCACAACTATCCACAGCATTTTTTCACTGTTCAATCAAACTGTGGAGAACCCTCTGAGCAATCGTCGTTTTAAAATTCACTTAGTTTGAGCTTAGGAAAAAAAAAAAAGAATGAATGAGAGACTGTAAGAGGAAATGAAAGATCCTTGCCTGGGCATTCAACTTTTTGGATTCTTCTACTTCAGACAAAAGCAGGATAATACTGGAATTACCTTTAAACGTTTTCACACTTTGAATCAAGTCTAATCCACTTCACTTTTATCGTGAGTTTATCATTAAGACTGTGACTGGGACTGAGAGCTTTTACCATGCTAACATGCGTTATTTCGAGACACACAACCAGGAATGATAGTGCCCACAAGCAAGTACGTAAAATGTGTTAGTATAGCGCCTTTCACAGACCAGGATCACAAAGCGCTTCATGAGTACTAATATATAAAAAATAAATACACATCGAAGTCAATAAAAAACAGTTGTACAGGAGCATGCATCATCTATTTGAAACAAAAAAAGAAAACAAATCTGTACTTTTAACCTTGTTTATTTATGTACTTGTCTTGCACACTGGGGACCTTTGCAAATGTATTCCTGTGTGTTTTACTACAAATGGAAAATAAAATGAATCTGAATCTAACACAGTACAGGCACAAGGTGATAGAGAGAGAGACCAGAGAGACCAGAGAGAGACCAGAGAGAGAGAGAGAACAGAGAGTGAGGCCAAAGAGAGAGAGACCAGAGAGAGTGAGAGACCAGAGAGAGACTAGAAAGAGAGAGAGAGAGAGAGAGAGAGAACAGAGAGTGAGGCCAAAGAGAGAGAGACCAGAGAGAGGCCAAAGAGAGGCCAAAGAGAGAGAGACCAGAGAGAGAGAGAACAGAGAGAGAGACCAAAGAGAGAGAGAGACTAGAGCGTGAGAGACTAGAGAGAGGCCAAAGGGAGACCAGAGAGGGACTAGAAAGAGAGACCAGAGAGAGAGACGAGAAAGTGAGAGAACAGAGAGTGAGGCCAAAGAGAGAGGGACCAGAAAGTGAGGCCAAAGAGAGTGAGGCCAAAGGGAGATGCCAGAGAGACAAGAGAGCGAGATCATAGAAAGAGAGAGAGACCAGAGAAAGAGAGAAAGAGAGAGAGAGAGACCAGAAAGAGAGACCAGAGAGACTATAAAAGAGACCAACGGAAATTGCTTTGGCTCTCGATGCAAAGAAGTTAAAAGTACAGAATAGAAAAAGCCATAATTAAAATCTACATACATTTAAAAAATATAAAAATGAAAATGATTATTATATACACTAATTGTGCAAAAAGAGAGGCCAGTAAGTCTGTAAGTACTATGTATTAGTAGAATACAATCCAACAGCACAAGATTGCTATGACAGCGGTACAAAGTGACCACCACTGTGACCTTAAAGATCTAATCCCTTCAATATTCTGTCTGGAGTTTGTCCCACGTTCGATTTGTCAAGACCACCGTCTACTCTAATCTTCCCAGAGAATATTTGTCAAAATGTCAAATGTGACAACTTCAAAATGTTGGTTTAGTTTATTATAACATTTCTTAAAAAGCCTGGCCACTTTCAAAAGCAAAACACCGAAAAGGCTAGTTCTGACCTGATCCAACCTGGACCTTCTTCTTGAGCGAGAATGGAAGCAAAAGTCCATTGCCACACTGCAAAAACTGATCAAATAGGAGTTAATATTAGCTTGAAATTGAGTGGTTTTTATTCTAATTTGAGTATATTCTGTCTTAATAACAAGATTTGCGAAAGGGACAAAGCCATTTAGTCTTATTTCAAGTAATTATTGAATAAGTAATAAGTCATTATTTATATTGGACATTTTACAGACCAAGGTCACCCAAAGCATTTCACAATGTTCAGATATTGTTTAATTCTCTCCACACAGTGATGATGGAAGCGAGACGCCAAACACACTGGACCATCAAAGCCTCTGACCAAACACCATCCATTCACAACTATATCATGCTTTTATTTAGTGGTAGGGGGAAACCTGGAGCACCCGGAGGAAACCTACACAGTAACGGGGAGAATATGCGATCTCCACTCAGAAAGGCCCTGCTCCAACCGGGATTCAAACCCAATATTATAAGTGTATCTAACCCTAACCCTTTCTCAAACCAAGGCATTTCTTGTATCTTTTTAAAACAAGATAGTCAAAATGTGCTCAAGTTTAGCAACATTTTGCCAGAATTTGAGCAGTTTTTGACTTGTTTTTCATCACTTTTTGCCGTGCAACCACTCCGCCACTGTTATTTGTAAGTGTGTGGAAACAAATTAGTCAGAATGAATTCATGATATGATGAATATTCTTAATAGCTGTCCCTTCATCTTGTCTTCACCTCATTAAAGTTACATCATCTGTTCTCAAATGGACTTCCACTGAGTCTGACCCACTTTTCATTGACTGCCACAACTGTCACTCCGCGGGCTCCAGACGCCATCTCTCACCCGGAGTTAAGAGCCTGACAAGTCTAAGAGATCTGTCAGCTTGGAAGTCACGTTTCCCTTCTCCACCAGATAACAGTCCGGGTTGCCTCAGATTCAGATTCATATATTTGCCATTTGCAGTAAAACCCCATTGGAATACATTTGCAAAAAGAAACAATTGTCACTGTTTCAGTACAAGTGCAAGATCATTAAAGTGCTCTGTTTAAACTGATAAGAAAGAAACTGTTGGCAAAACGAGATATCCTGCAAATGCCTCTCAACGAACAATATTGTCTGCCAGAGGGAAGAAGCTGGAACATGGCTTTTCCAAGGTGGCCAGAAGAGTGCTAGCTGTTAACTTTGACTGTGGTATGGAGGCATTCCTGGGGCAGCCCGCAGCCCTTTTCCTGGGATTCCGGCACTAAACTGTTGAAGTGAGTGCACCACTGCTCCCTGCAGATCTGCATGGGGCGAACCAAGAGCCCCCGCTGGGCCTGTGGTGGAGTGGGCAACCCCGCATGAGCCTCCCCTGTGGAGAGGCAGAGGCAGAGGAGGGGAGAGAACAGACAAAGTTTAGAACTCAGTGGCTTGGCATTTTCACACATAAATCTTTGAGACAATTGGGGAGTATAAATGTCAAAGTGGCAAAAGTAAATGAGGATCAGAGCTGGTGTCTGTGTGCGTGGCCATCTGGAGAAGCACATGCTCTCTGCAGGGCTCCTCGCTCCTGTCTGCATCGGCATGCTTTGTGCTGCTGCGCTAGCCCACTACATGCATCCATCTTACATTTATCTTGCACCAACAGCTGCTCCGGCATTTGTGGCGCAAGTATTTCTGACTTAGAATGAGAAGAAGCCAAGAAGTGCACTTCTACAAATAACTAGTTGCCGCATAGAGATTTCAGACAGTAATCCATTTAGCATACTGACTACATACTAAATCTACATCAGTACAATCCCAAGTCTTAGCTCGGCTAAAGCAAGTCTATTGAAGACTATTTGCTACGGTGAGAAATTACTAATCCAAAGGAAGCCTTTAAACTAAACACCAGAAGAGCAAACCCCATTTCAGTGGTACACATACCTCAGTTTGTGAATCACTGTGAGCAGCAGTGTGAGCACAGAGCTCCTCTGCAGCACCATCCTGCTGCGGGCTCAGTGCATCTATAAATGGGCATGATGCCATTTAATTTGACTTATTATCTATGAAGGCAGCTCATGCTCTTCCACCTTGCACACACTCCTCCTCACACCGTGTTGAGTCCTCTCCACACCGAGCATCATAAATTAAACATTGGCTGGGTTTCCCCTGTGTTCTGTTGGTGTAAAAATAGGCCGTTTTGGTGCGCTCTGTGATGGCCGCTCTCGCTCCTGTGTCTTTAATGATGTGTTTCCATGAAAAGTGCAGTGATCCCTCAGTGTGACTGCTGCCGCAGCCCAGTTCTGACTTTCTCCAACTCCCTGAGTGCCTCTGAGCTCATTTGGTTATACAAGTGCTCACAATTACCCAGAGATTTGGACATTGGGATATGGGATATTTCCATATCCCTGACGGATGTTATTTTAATTACACTGAACTGCTTGACTTTGTGCTGAGGATTTACATGTATTTTTCTTCTTCTGTAGATGCAAAGTGGGCTCTTTGGAAGGTTACTGTTGTCCCACAGACTATCTTCTCTGAGGCCTCCAGGCGGACCAACCTTAAGAGGAAGATTGGGATTCATTTATCCATGGAAGAGCCAGTGTACATAAGGCAAAGCACACATAATTACTATGATAAAAAGGGAGATAATGAGCCATCTTCCTGGCATCATCCCTTGCAGGTTACCAGTTTGTGTGTTTCAAGACAGTTGTTATCTCCAATCAGCCTCATTGTGGGGTCTTAATTATATTTGATTGAGAAAAAAAAAACTCTCGGCAGTGGGTGAGATAATTATAGAGTCAGATGTGCCTGTCGCTGAAATGCAAACATAAAGGCATCAACACAGCTGACTAATTTAGGTGATAATGTAGAGAAGGGGGAGGCAGGTGTGGGAATAAAACAACCTCTGCTTCACAGCTTGCGCTCCTCCAAAAACAAACGCCTCATATGTCACTGCCAGAGAAATATGGCACAGTAGCTCAGTGGGCCGCGCTGCTCCTAATGTGAGAAGGTCTGTTTTGATTCATGTAACTCCCGGAGCCTCATTCCTCTTCACGCTCTGGACCTGAGCTGCTGCTGCTGCTGCGTATGAGAGGGACAGAGTTTATGGTCTTGTTGCACTGGAAACATCTCTTCAAACAAACAGCAGAAACAAACACCGGCCTTTTGTAAGATGGCGTCTGTACGTCCCAAAGACTTCAACACTGCTGGTACCTTTGCAAGACTGCCACATGCAAAGTTGAAGAAATATGTTGCATGGTTAAAAGTATTGTGATAGAATAGTGCAAATCGAGAAACGTGGAACCGTTAAGATTAAGAGATCCTTTAGTCGTCCCACAGCGGGGGAATTTCAGTGTTGCATCACCATAACTCTAAGCATAAAAAGAAGCAGTGTAAAATCTCTATCTTTAGTATAATAAGGAAAGGAGTCTTAAAATCTCCAACTTTAGCATGATGAAGAAGCAAGACTTAAGCACAAAACCCCCTGACCTTAGCATAATAAGGATCAAGTATTATCTCCAAAAATACACATCAACTTCCTCCTCCTTGCTCCAGATCATAAGGATTTAACTTTTACTGATGCAAAGCTGTTCTCTTGGTAGTTTAAGTACATTTGGATCATGAAAGTAAGTGTAATATTCAATGGTATTTATTGAAATCGGACATTGTCAGATACAGAAAAGTTGGGCTACACAGCTTTAGGGGAAGGTCATGTCCATCCAATGTTGATGTTTTTCTAGAATATGAAATTAAGCTGTCCATGTACATCATAGACGACCAAAATACTTCTCTTTCTTCTCGCTTCTATTCAACGTTAAATAACTCAATCCATTAATGTATTTAAATTATGTTTATGGGGTGGTTTATCTACAAGTTTTTGCTTCTTTCCCACTTCCCCGCTGACAAATTGCAAGTAGAAACACTTTTGTAAATATATATTGAAATGGTAATTACAACAACCCATGGTGAAACTCGGTCAAATACAATTGCTTGTTTGTATATTTATGTTTACTGTATATAGTTGCACGTGTAAGTATATACTTTAAGCGCACTAAGCAACATAACAATATACAAAACTAAGGCATGTAAATATTGTAAACATTCAAATTAATCAAATCAATCAATCAATCTTTGTCAAAAAGCACATTCACGAGATGATATCACACAGCAGCAGGAGGAGGCGCTGTGTGAAAACAATTGCAGACCAGAATATTTATACGGGACGCAATCTCAATGGAAACACCGGGTGATTCCAAGAGTCTTTCTCATACAGTCATCAAACATCCCACGATTCCCATTCACTCCCATTGCACCGGTCAAACTATGGAGTGGGTGGGAACCATATCCAAGTCCATATCGGGTTATCCCAAGTTATTATAAGTCATGTCTGTGGAGCATTGCTGGCTGAACCTTTTTGTGGGCCCTAAGGAACCCTGAACTCATCACTGCCATTTAAAGCCAACTGTTGATTACTTATGTTATTGTTTATTTGGTTGGATCAGTGCATGAATGAACACATGTCTCCGGATTGTAGCCTTGGATTCATTTGCACCAGTTGTTCTAGTCGCACTCACAAACACACACTGATTCACCCTGAACAATCGTACAATTATTTTAGTGGTAAGGGAAACTGGAGCACCCGCAGGAAATCCTGGCATGTATGAGAGTGATACAATATGGTATTTTGACTGTATTAGCTTCACCACTAGAGGGCCAGTTGGGACAGAGCAAAGAAGCTGGACTTGTTTTATTATGGGTTTTTTGGGAGTTTTTAAAAGTAATTTGCTGTGGAGGCACCGGAAATGTAAAAGGACAGTGGTGATGATCCAGGACACTCAACATTCAACAGCATTTATGGTCATTTATCAACACTTATGGACATTGGTCATCTGCCCCTTATGGACCAAAACCAATGTGTTTTCTATTCCATTGTTTTTGTTTTGTTTTGGATTCTCTGATCTATGTTGGCGAATTCACAATTGTGTAAAGTCCTCTTAGATACTGTTGTGATTTAGGGCTATACAAGAACATATTGAATTGAATTTAATGGAAGTGCTAACGGTTGAACCAAGTATTAGCATTGCAAAACAAGCTAGCAGCATGGTCGGATTCAAGGCCGTTGAGAGATATAAATTCTTCACAAAAAATCCCGGTCCCAGTGACTCGATTGACAGCTATGTAACTGAACTGAAACTACTCACTAAAACGTGCAATTCTGGCACTTTGAGGGACTCTTTCATTCGTGACAGAGTTGTGTGTGCTATCAACAGCAGCGGCACGGAGAGAGACTTTTCAGAGCCCCGACATTAGCTCCTTGTAGCAACCAAGAGCATGCAAAAACTGGTATATGGTGGAATCTAATCTTTTTGTTGTTAATTTCAATGTCTGATTAAAATTAATTTTAAAGTGGAAAGATTTATCATATTTAAGCCACTGTTGGGGGGGGGGCGGCCCTATTTGCTTTTTGAATAGGACCGGCCCTGCTAAGTAGAGCTCTGAGCCAATTTAACTACACATGTTTTTGAGCTGTAAAAACGTCTGTAATTTAATAATGAAAAATATTTCAATCAAAGCAATAAAGTAGCAACAGGATAGCAAACCCTGATAGAAAAGTTGCGCAATGCACCTATATGAATTTCTTATAGCAACAACCCCCAAACTCTCATCAATGGACCTCAGCTTACCCATCCTTATTCCACCAATTTTCTTTTTCTAAATTATGTTAAATCAAAAGATGCAGGAGTATGTTGAGTGGCATGGGTTTGTTTTTACAATCACAGCGACAATAATGACCCAACTGCACAACAATCATCATTATACAGTATATGTCCCTACTAAACATAGGAAGGCAGCAGATGCATGCAGTTAAAATCTGGAAGAGTCTAAAAATGTGAGACAGACAGGTTGAAAAACAGTTCTGTTTAGCTGTGCATTCAAATTAAAGTTGATTATTTTGCCTTGCTTTGCCTTACTTTGGCTGTAATAGCACGACCTCTGACATTCAGCCAACGAAATTCAAAGTGTATTACAAACATTAGTATGGTTCTTTTATAATAGCAGCACCTTCCCTTGATGCCATTGTTCCTTCCAAGTCCAAAGCAGCGCGTGGTTTTCATCCTATAATAATAATAATAATGGTCGAGCTTTAAAGCCACAACGTTAGAATCAGCACATACATACCTGAGCGTGCTGTATTCACATTCAACAGCAGCGGCGTCCTCTCCTGCCGCGCACTAAGCTTATATCAGCGGGACTTTATTAAAAATCCTTTCATGTGCATATATGTCCATAATGGGTTCACGAGACGAATTTGCTCAGGGACCCCAATTGGAACGGTAGCATGCTGGGAAATTAAGCCCAAAAGAGAGAGAAGCGCAGCTCAATCAGGATTTTGGATTGGATTTTTTCAAATCTTTACTTTTTGGGGGGCATACTGGGGGCATACTTTTTTTTTTTTTTTTTTAAACATGCAGTCCATTATCTTACTTGCTTTTTGATTGGTTATTTTCAAAAGGTAAATATTGTTTATTTATATCAAACTTGATAGCTCGATGGTCCCCATATGGCCTTTTGAATGTTATTTAATATAATACAGACATTTACTAAATATTTATGTTGAATTGTGATGATATCCTACATATTTATATAGTCATATACTATTACTAATATTACTTCTTTTTATATTTATTTATTAACATTATTAATATGATTATTTTAGCGTTGAGCTCGTGCCCATCCAGAATACTTTTGAGTAGGCAACAAATAATAATAATAATTATTATTATAATAACAATTACTACTACTGTAAATTTCTCCATTGTGAGATGAATAAAATCGTATCTTATCTTTATCTTATCTATAATAATAATAATAATCATACTAATTATAATAATAGTAAGAATAATAACACATATAAAAAATTGGGTTTAATCTGACGTATTCTTAAACTACACCTGTGCCTAAAAGTGTGCAAACCCCATATACACCCTGCGTGCGCCTT